TAGGTGCCTTCCATCTGCTCATTGACAGAATCAAATATTTGTAGGGATGTATGAGGCTGTTGTTCCTCTTGCACCACCAAAAGAAGAGGAAATGCATCACCAAAAAGAAGTCATCCATTTACATAACATGTGCATATGGTAGTATTCCGGCAAGTTTAGGAATAATAACTTTAAATAGAAACACAATGCATTTCACTGAACTGAGGAAGAGGGTGTACCTTGTGCTATCTGCTGCCCAGCTGCTAACTCCTGATGGGGAACTTCAGAGCCTCTCTCTGTCTTTCTTCATGATGCTATGTGTCATCAGGTTGTCTCAGACCTATGGCAATCCCATGAATGAAAGCCCTCCAAATTGTCCTGTCCTTCACAGTCCTGCTTAGCTTTTGTAAACTCAAAGTTGTTGCTTCCTTTATGACATCAATCCATCTTGCATTTGATTTTCCTTTTCTTCTTCTGCCTTCCACTTTCTCAGCATGGATGTCTTCTCCAAGAAGCTTTGCTTTCTCAGGATGTGCCCAAAGCTTCACTTTTGTCATTTTTGTTTCTAGGGAAAGCTCTGACTTGATTTGATCTAAGACCTGCTTTTTTGTCTTTCTGTTGGGCCAGGGTATTCACAAATTCCCCTTCAGCACCGTGTTTCGAACACATTCTTTTTCACTCATCCATGGCTTTCACACCCATCCATACTGTCTTCCTCTTTATGAGCTGTCAGCTTAAGTCCAGAGTAAGACTACCAGCTTATCAAAGAGAGCACCACTTCAAATGGAGGGCTGTCCTCCATCAACTCTTCAAATAGAGGACTGCAAAGTAGGACACCTGGCCACACTACCATGGTCATGTGTTGTTCAGCATCTTGCCAAAGATGGGAGTTAGGATGGCCAGGTGTCCTCCTTTACCGAGGACAATCCTTTGGTTTGGAGAGCTGGCAGAAGATCCATCTGCTGTTTGAATGGTTGTCCAGGCCCATTAGGGTTTAAAGGCAACATCCCTAATGAGGGGGAGCAGGGATCGGTCTTGATGTTGGTACACAAGTCCTCTTGTCAGCCCCTTCCATTACAATGAGATGCTTTGTGCTTCTATATAAAGTGCCACTATTATTTCTAATTTTGCAACTGTAGATATGTATTTGCATGTGTAAATATCCTGCAAATTAGCATCCTCTTTTGCCCTCTTCCTTGGTGAAGCAATTTCTCCTCTCTTTCTCTCTCTTGGCCATATGTAAGTACCCTAGATAGAACTGAGAAGTTACTCATCAGATCTGCAGATGATGCCAAATTAGATGAGGTAGCTAATTTCTTAGAGAAGAGGACCAAGTTTCAAGATGATTTTGGCAGGATGGAGAGCTGTGCCAGAAATAACAAAATGAACTTCAACAGAGGTAAATGTGAAGTTCTACATTACATAGGAAAAATCAGTTGTACAAACACAGGATGAGTGGTGAGTTGCTTGACATATGAAAAGCATAAAGGGGTTTCAGCAGACCAAAAACCAAGCATGAGCCAGCAGTATGGCACAGTTGCTCAAATGTTAATGCAGTTCTAGGTTTGCTTAACAGCCCTGGTTGGCACATTGTGCATCAAGCAGGAGTAAGTCAGAGTCCTAGATTCTAGCCACTCAGCCACTGCTACTGAGATGAACAACCCAGGAACAATCCCAGAATTGTGAGTTGTTGAGGGTGGGGGCATCCCACATTCACAAACCATTTGTATACAGTGCGTGACTCAAGGATTGCAGTAGGTAATTGCCCATTGTTTGCATGCAGCTCTGGCTGGCCCAAGGAGGTTCTAGTAGAATAGCAAAATAGATTCTATTAGGCCAGAGTCTGGCTACAATACTGCAGAGGGTAGGACCTGAACCAGTGGTTTCAAATTACAAAGGGAAACAAGGTTTAGATTAAGCATTAGGAAGAAATTTGTATTGTACAAGCTGTTTGATGATGAAAAGGCTGCCTTGGAAGGTGGTGATCTCTCTTTCATAAAACAGTTTTTAAGGAGAGACTGATGGTATAAAATAACAGATTTCCTACATCAACTGGAGGTTGGACTGGATGACCTTTTAGTTTTCTTCCAACCCTGATTCCATGATGTAGGAATTTGGTAATGTCTGAATTGGCCTCCTTTACTAAAGAATACACAATCTCTGACTTTCTGATTTGTTTCTGAATGTTAGTCCTTGCCTAGACTTCATGACTCCCATTTTCATCTTGTCAACTCCACCTTTAATCTGCTCCAGTGTAACATGACATGATACTCTGCTGTGCTAGTGTGAGGAGAATCTCTGTGTTACATAACACCCCATCCAATCTGGTGAAACCTTGGATGGAAATCACAGTCCTAGATAGGGAAATCATGGAGTGTCCTAACAAGTTCTGAGAAAGGAAAGAAAGCACTGAACCAGAAAAACCAGCTTTGCTGATCCCAGCAGGGCCGGATGATGGTTTCAGTGTTCTAAAAATATACTCGGGGAGATTGGAAGATTTTGTGACCAGTGCCTTGGATCTGGCTATTGTCTGCAGGGTTATTATCAGTCAGGGAACCACTAGCCTAGAAAGCTATTTCTGGACCAAATGGTTATATCAATATTTATTATTAATGGGACTATGGGTTCTCTTGGTTTATAAATGCTACAAAATTGAAAATATTTCTTCATCATCATCATCTCTTACAATGGAAGGCAAGCTTGAGTAGGTGCCATCTGCACATAGATAGAAAGGGAAAGGGTCTATTCAGCAGTGGCCCCACACCTCTAGAATAGGCTTCCACTAAGGATTAACAGGGTTCTCTGGTTGTCCTCTTAATTTGTGGGTTACTGCTTTTCTTTTTAATTAAAAAAGAATTGAAACTGAACTTTATTGTTTTGTTTTTTATCCTGTATGCCACTTTGGAAGGGGTTCCATTCTTTAAGGTGGTCTACAAATAAATTTAATACATAAATATTGTACCAGTGGCACACAAGTTGCCTTGTGCTCTGGGCCAGAGTGAATGGCAGGGGCAGGAATGGCTACAGCCATTGTCTCAAGCAGCTACTGCAGAGGCAGGAAGGAAGAGGTGGCAAAAGCAAGAGAGCTGCTCCTGGTTGATCTTCCAAGACATCCTGGGTGGCTGGATGTCCTACTTTACAGGGGGAAGGCCTCTACTTTTTTATTCTTTTTATAAATGAAAAGAATAATTTATTCTATTATAATTTTTATTTATTTTATAAATAAAATGACCTATTTGTTCACCCAGTATTTTAAAGTTTAAATTTTAATTGTGTTGTATTAATACCAGTCATGGGATTAATTAGTGTTATTAATATTATTACTGTTTGGGCTAATAATTGGATATTTTATATTGTTGTATTTCTTGTTCTGTTTACTGAACCATTGTTGTAAGCCATCCAGAGACACGTAGTGATTGGACGGGTTAGAAATGTCCCAAATAATAAAAATAATAATACTTTGGAGAGATGGTAGAGGACAGTTCTCTCTTTGATGGGCTGCCCTGTCCAAGTCTGGTCTTAAGTTAAAGAACCATGAGGATCAATGGCCACTGGTGCCTTGACAGAGGACTGACCAGGCACATTGGTCACCTAGCAGATCTTCTCCACAATGGTGAAGTATCTTATATTTCTTTTTAAATCATAGTTATTATTTGTACATGTTACATCTATACACATAAATTTGTCCATGCAAATTTATGGCCTCTTTCATCAGGATGAATTTCCCCCTTTTTGGCCACGTGGAAGCAGTTACCCTGGTAGGAGCACCACATTGCTAAATTCCATCAGACCCAGCACCAAACCAATCAAGCATTGCCACTGAACCTCTTCCGTCTCCTCTTCCTTCCATGGCCACTCCCCGCATGTTTCCCTGTTAACAGCTTGGTATGGCATAGCTGTGATTGGCGTGTGAGCAGCCCTGGCCATGGATCCCCGGGAAAGGCAACAGCCCCATGGCAATTAGGGTCCACCATCTTGACTAATCAGAGAAGGCTACAGGAGACACAAAACAGGATTCTTGGGATTCGTCGGAAGCTCAGCGGAAGCAGCAGAAAGAGATGAGCTGCAGCAGTCAAACAGGACCAGTCCAAGACCTTTTGGTGCCCGAGGTGAAGAAGTAAATGACTTAGTACCCCCCACCCATTTGCTTAGCCTGAAGCCGGCTAAGTTCTTTGGCTGCTGGGTCTGAGAATCTCACAAGTGTCTTGCCCCATCTCTGGCAATGAAACACAGCAAGAGCAAAGGAAGTAACTATTTGCTGCCTTTCTGTGTCACCTCCAAATCTGCTGCCTGAAGCAACTACCTCACTTCGACACATGCTAGGGCCTGATCTGTGGTTAAAAATCACAAGAGAGAGGAAAGGGGGCAAGTGCACCCCCTCCAGACAAGCCACATGCATGCTCTGCTAAATCATCGTTGTTCCTTGATGGGGCTGCACTTTTCACAAACATGCTGTAGCCACATTAGGTGAAGGAAATGAAAATAAGCTTGCAAACCTAAGCACGCTCACTTGAAAGTTAATTCCATTGGAATCAATAAGATTTATTTCAGAGAAAATATGCTTAGGTTAGGAGGATTCATAGGTACTGTCATTCTCCTTTCAGAAATGGAGCATGTGGGATGACATTTACCTCCCACCAGTGCTCTTTGCTCCTTCTTACCCTCTGCCCCATGCAGCATAATTTTTTTCTAATACCATGATAATATCAGAACCAATAGAATTGCTGTGAGTAACCCAGAGCCAAGAGAAAAGGCAGGGAATGAGCTGGATACAGGACAAGCCATAGCCGGCTCCCAGAAGTGATCCACTGTGGAGAGAGGGAAAGTTTTTCAATAATAAGCCCCAAAGCCATCATCCATTACCACAGCCTCTCAGAAAAGCAAACACCCCTCACATCTTATAATTCTTGCATGTCGATTTTCTCTTCTGGCCACTCACCCTGAAACCCTGTGACCCAGCAGCAAAGCAGCAGGTAAGGACTTAAATAACCAAGTCAGTCAATGGTTCTGTCTCCTGACAGGAAATCAGGGCTCGGACTGTAGCATTCCAGCAACAGCAGGGCATTTCTGTGGAAGCTGGGGGCCGGAAGGAGAATATCAAGAAGAACCGTTACAAAGACATCTTGCCATGTGAGTTGGCCGTCCTGCATGGGGAAGGAAAAGTACTGCTCGCTTCCCAAAGTCGGGTTTGAGCTCAGCATCCATTGCCTGAGGAGCACTCACTCCTTCTCAGGGCTGACTTCTTCGTGGAACCAGCCACGCTATCCCAGTCCCCTGCTTTGGCTTCTCCACCCCAAGTGGAGCATTCCTAGCAGCCACCAGAAGAATATCAGGCTAGAATTGCCAGGGCAGGATCCACATGGGATCGCTGTGTTTACAGAGTGTCACCCGTAAAGGTATACTCTTGTAACTGCGGGAATTTGAAGGTCTTGTGTGTTTTCTTGTTTGTGCTTCTACCATGACACAAACCACTGGAGTTGTGAGGAAATGGGAGGACATGGTGCCATTTTGCTCCCCCCCCCCCGCACTTTAGAATCAGTAAATTGCACAGGTACCTTTAGGGATGCAAGTTTTAAAATAAATTGCATGGTTATTCACATCCATGTAGCTCTGGAGGTGCATAGTCAAAAGTAGCTGCAAAAAACCTAAACAGGGTGCAGGAGGAGAAGATGGACATGGCAGGTGCAGGACTGAAGAAAGATCTTGGGTGTTGTTGGGGCTTTTCTTTTGGGGGAGCGGGTGCCAGCTATTCTCATGAAACTCAGCATGAGTTAAAAATAGGAGAGAAGGAAGAGCAGAAAGTCATGGAAGTGAGGGGTACTATTGCAAAACAGGTTTGACAGCTTCAAACCCACTCCTACCAGTAAACTGTTGTAGCATTAGGAAACCAAAGGGAAAGTTCTCATTTGAGAAGCCCTAGAATACTGGGGAGAAATAGTGTTACCACAACAGGTTGGGGTGTGCGCTGTGTGTCCCATATGTAAGCCAGATATTAAAATACCAAGATAAAATGCTCATGTTGATTGCCCATCTGTCTGAGGTGTTGGCTCAACCCCCAGTTTTTGCAATCCACTCTCAGTATCTCAGAGAGGCAAGAGGGATCTCAAATCCATCAGCTAATTACTAAATGAACTACTTTTTCCCATACCAGCCTGCCTACACTCTGGAGAGGGCTGCTGTAATGGCAGGACATTTATATAAAGCTCCGAGTCACGCAGGGGATGAATCACAGAATAAGATGTAGTTGACAGAACTGTGAAAAGTGAAAAGTGGTAGTTGAAGGTGTCAGAGATTTCCTGAATGAGTTTTTTATACATATGACAGCCTCGCACTAAGTTCTGAATCATCTGTCCCCCAGCTTTGGGACCACAAAATATTTTGACTACAGCTCCTATCAGTCCCAGCATAGCCAGTGCGTTGGAAATGATGGGAATTATAGTCCAAGCCAGGGTGGTCCGAACAGAGTGGTTGTAAAACTATCAACAGAACAAGTACTTTATTAGTCTCACAGGTGGATCTGCCTGGCTTTCTCTGGACAATCTAATTGTTTCAGGAACTTTTTCTGTGAAAGGCACACCGAGCCAATCTATTTGCTTAGCTGAGTATCTCTCGAGCAGGCCTCCCCATTCTTCTCCTTTGCTGAGCAATGCACACTGTGGAAATGTTTCCCACAGTATTTTATCAGTGGTGGCCAAAGGCATATCTATTCAAGTCAGAGGGCAAATCCCTTGACTAAAAAGGAGATGTTGGGATTCAGACAGTATAACTGGTCCAGCATACCCATTGGTGTGCCTGCTGGGCCAGAGAGTAGTGTTGATTTTGGGTCTCTCTATTCAGATCTGGGATTCTGATTGCTGAAGTCCAAAACTTCTGGAGGTCTATCTTGTGTCCACCTTATTTTGTACTACACAGTTCCAGCCTAAAGAGGTAGAAAAAGCATTGTCTCTTTTCTACATCCTAACTCCTTGTCTTTTTATAGATGATCAGACCAGAGTTGTTCTGAACTTACTGGTGGAAGAAGGCCAAACAGACTACATCAATGCCAACTTCATTCAGGTAACAGATGTCTGACATCCACCACAAACAGCTGTGTGATTCCCCAGGTGTATGTTAGCTGAGGCACTGACCTACATTAGTCTAAATTAACATTGGGAACATCGGCTGCATTTGTATGAAATGAGAAGTAAGCCACAGTGGGTTGGTCCTCGGAACAACCCCTGGACCACCTGATGAAACAGTTGGGCTTGTCATGGCTTGGTCTCCTTCTGCCTTCCCCCTCCAACCATCATCCCAGTGTCCTTCATGGCAGAACCCTTTTTGTCTCCCCATTCCTGCTCCAATCACTATCTCTCTCCATTCGCTGCTGCTGGGTTTTTTCCCCAAAGCTTCACCAATATGCAGTTGGGACCCAGAAAATTGCCTGATTGTGTTCATAATTTTGTTTCCCCAAAATATTTTTGTTGATCTTTGGAGTTATGCAAGTGTGCTCTTGTGGCTGTCCACAGCAGTACATGCTCCAGAAAGGAATGCAAGAAGGGAGATGTTAATACCCCCACTTTCTGGGGTAGCTGAAGAACCAAGGAAGGGCTGAGAATCTGGAGGACAGTGAGAACTGCCAGCCCAACACTTAAAATCCAAAGGATTACACTGATAAGAGGAAGATCTTGTCATTGTCCCCATTTGGTGCACTTACTTCTTCCACTTTTCTCTGCTTTGCTGGTTATTTTTAATTACAGCTTGGTACTTGTGCACAAATTAGCCTATATGCAGTCTTTCCTTGTCAGTTTTCATCTGTGTTTCCAGATGCACTTGCCTCCCTTTGACAGTGAAAATTTACATGAGCATCAACCAGGCAAGACATCATATATCAGGCAGATGCAGTTATGCACTTTTGCATCTCCAAAAGACCAACTGTTTTTAAATTTATGAAGTCACTGATACATATTTCTGAGGCCCAAAAAATAATTTTTAAAGGTGGCAAACCTGTGATGGTTGCTCTAATGTGCCACTTGGGTGTGCAGTGACATGGGTAAGATTGCAAAGGGTTTTAGGGATTTTTGCTCATCTTGTTGAGTGGCTTGCCAGTCAATCTCTGCCACCAACAATTACAGTGCTGCCCTGGGTTTGGATGACATGACAACCCATCATGGGTCAAATAACACCTGGAACATGGACCAAGCAAGCCCATGGCTTGTCAGGGTAGCCTTTTTCAAGTTGGAACGAGTTACTGATACTGAGCTGCTGTGGTGTGAGAACCCAGGCACTGTTCACTTTTATACAGTCCAGGCAGTTTCCTTTTGGAGTCTGTAATGGTAAGAATGGCCTACTATCATGGGTACTCCAGCATGAATTGGTGGCCTAGATATACCTCATGACTAGAATGAGAGAAGCCCAAAACAGTGGATCATGCAGAGATTCAACTATCTGCCAATTCTCACAGTGAGAGTTTTGCTGCATCTTTGGGAGTGATGAAAGGTGTCAGCACTCGGCTCTTGAGTCAAGAAAACCTAACCTGTACAGTAAATCATGCAGAGATACAGAAGGTTACTTCCTTTAGTCCTATCTTTTGAGGCTGGATTTTATTTCTCAGGGCAACCCAGTTAGTTGTGCCATTGCAGATTAATAAGTCTCAATAGCACACAGTTTGGGAACTGCTGCCCCAAACATGTAAAGACTCTTCCTGCAATGTATACATTCTCAGATTACACATTTAAAATATAGTTCTAGTTCTCAGTGACACACCAGTGAGCTAGGAAGTGCAAACAAAATAGGCAAATTATCCAAAGCCTTCTGGTCTACACTAATCTTAGACCAGTCTTGAACCAGTGGTAACTCCCTACAACCCGACCTCCCATTCTTTTGTATGAGGAATTCCTCAGGTTATCTGTGGTAACGCAGTACTGCAGCACAACTGTAGAGGGTGCTGTTCAGCATAATGCAAGGTGCTGACTGGCATTTGCTTTGCTTTTCCTCCTCCCAGGGTGTGGATAACAAGAGGTGCTACATTGCAACCCAAGGACCTCTTGCTCACACAGTACTTGACTTCTGGAGGATGATTTGGCAATACAGGGTGAAGGTGAGTTGTATGGCTGGATTGCAGATGGAGTTGCTGGATTTGAAAGCATGCTGGGAGTAGGAAGACAATTAGGCTCAGTAGATTACAACAGATCCTGCTGCATCTCAGCCTCAGGAAATAGCAAACTCAAGGGGTGAGTGTCAACAGAAATGGAGCTGCTGAAAAGGCATCAGCATGATTGTAGGAACCCCAAGGTTTAATTAAAAAAAAAAAAAAGATGTAAGGGCCAAACACTTGCCCCCAAAATAGCCCAATGTTCAGTAGCCCCAGGATGGAAAAGAAAAAGTGCATTGCTTTGCAGCTACAGTCAACTGGAAATGGAAGAGTTGAGGAGTTCAAGGAATGAAATGGCCTGCTTAACCCTTCCATTTTATAGCAGCCTTCCTCAGCCTGATATTTGTTGGACTACAGCTTCCATCCTCCTCAGAGAGAATGGGAGCTATAGGACACCACGCATGGCTAGTTGGCAACTTGCACTGCACTGCTTTTCAAAAGGTGATAGCATGCTGCCACATTTGTTGCATGTGTTCCACTTGTTTGACAAATGGCAGGTGTGCCTCATCTCCATTTTATATATATGAAAAGTAAAGCCCTCTCCTATGGCAGAGAACAGGCTTAATCTCCACTCCATTTGTGGCTTCTTTAGTTCTTACTAGATATACATGAGTGGCTACCATTTGTTCCTCTGTGCAAGAACTGAGTGCTGCACTTTGAGTTGGTGTTTAGGGAAGGCTAAGAATGCTTGCCTCCATCATTTACTTGGTCTCCACTGAGAATTGCTCTGCAAAGGATCCTTGCAATGGGCAGTACCTGATGCTGTCACCCCACAAACTCAGATGGTATGAACAGAGCTCCACCAATTCTTTCTGCTCATGCAAGTAGTTCTTCAAACGTAACGTACAGTCAGTCACACAAGTTGTTTGAGTTGGCAAACATGTGGCACAACTGCATGTGTGCAAAAGTGACTTTAGTTGGACCTCCCATAATTGCCCACACTTTGCAATCTTGATTCTACTAGTCCAAGAAGGCATTTTGCTAGCCCATTTTTACAGGAGTGGTGCCTCTGAGAACAAATGACGAAACACACATGACCTTCACTTTTATTGTCTTCTCTCATTGCAGGTGATTGTCATGGCTTGCCGGGAAGTGGAAATGGGCAAGGTGAGACCTAGCAAAGGAGGGATGGCAGCAGGAAGCGGGGGTGCCTTCTTGTGCCACTCATCTGACCTTGTAGCTTCAGTTGGAGAACTGCTGTTGTCACCATCCCAGAATCTTAGCTAACCTCCTTTGCTTTCCTTTTCTTCCAGAAAAAGTGTGAACGCTATTGGCCTTTGGCAGAGGAAACCTTGCACTTTGGGCCCTTTTCAGTGTCACAGGTGAGCTGGTCACTTGCAGTGGTACAGTGATACCTGTGGAACTGCAGGCTTGTGTTGTAACAGTCCTCTTAGTCATGTCCCCAAAGCAAGTCCAAGAATGCAAGTAGCTGCATGGATCCATATCACTCTGTATTTATGGGTGGGTGCATGTGATATATGCATCTTTAGAAGACTGGGTCTGAGCTACCCATTCAAGACCAGGCCACACCAAAATACATCATGTTACAACAGGGATTGCTAGGAATACAGACCCCATACTGTTGCTTGGAAATCTCATTCCCCACCAGCTACTGTGAGGATTGTTGCTAGGCTCAGAAGAAATAGGGAAACCTGAGTGGGGCAGCAGGTGATGGCTTGGTCTCTGCTACCCAAAAATCATGGTGCTTCAACCCTATGAACCCTGGCTAGACCATGCCACTGGTTGCATGTGCATAGGCAGCAAGCCGTGGAGTAAGGAGTCCAGCCTAGCCCCTAGTTTGCATGTGTTGCATAAGCAGAAACATTTCAAGTTGCTCAAGTGGGCTTACATAATTCTCCTCTTCCTCTCAACCTTATGCTCACAAAAGCAATCCTGTGAGGTACCCTGGCTGAGTGTCTGTGGCTGACCCAAAGTCACCCAGTTGGCTCCAGATCTCCTGAGTCCCAGACCTGCAGTCTTAACCACATGATGACCTCCCTCTATTTGTCCACAGTCTCTGATACTTGGAGGGCCAATATTTAGACCCTGCATCAGCAGCTAGTACCCAGAGCAACTACAGGGGCCCCAGTGCCTGGCAGGGTTTCTATGTGTAGATGCTGCATTAGTCCTCCCCTTCCTCCCACTATCCCATTCCAGACAGGTGAATCTTCAAGCTGATCCTAAGGTATCTTCGTGCCATAGGATTGTGGGAAATTCAAAATGGCTGTTCTTAGCCACTTCTTCCTGCCACCACCATGTGGAACTGACTAGCATGGGGGAAGGGGGCAGCGGGACCTTCCAGATAGTTCTTTGCCAGGGGTCACTACAGATCTGGATCCAGTCCTGCTTACACAGGGTTGTATATCCCTATACAGTGGTACCTTGGCCCATGAACTTAATCCGTTCCACAACTCTGGTTGTGATCCAAATTGGGTGTGACCCAAGTCAAATTTCCCCATAAGGTTCAATGTAAATAAGGTTAATCCATTCTGTAATTATTTTTTTTTAAATCAGAAAAATTTGAAACAAAGGGACAAAGAACAACAAAGTAACAAAGTACTGTACAGTACAGTGGAGAACACTAACCTAGGTGAGGGGGAGGTTATTGTTTTGAGGGAGAGACCCCCTCCATAAGGATATTGGGGAGATCTCTTTCAGGGGTTTCCTCTCTTTTTTGTCTCTTAGCTGCAGGGTCAATTTTGATGAAAAATTTGTCTATAGTCACTTGTTTTTTCCTGCGCTGCATAACCCTCCAGAAATGAGAGACCATGTTATCGTTCATATGATTCAACACTCTGTTCGTTACAGTTATGTTGGGGTGGAGCTTTTCAAAGAAATCCTGGCACTCATTCCATTTTTTCATAATGGATTGTATCACATCACTGCTAACCTCCTCCCTGTCTTCCTCTTCCTCAGTGGAATCCTCCTCAGCAAGTGCCTCCTGCTGCTCACTCTGGAGTTCAGCAAGTTCTTCTCTTGTCAGCTCCTCTATGTCTTCCCTTCATGAACGCAACTGTGCTCGTGGTCATCTCCCCACTTGGGGGGTGGGGGGAGATAGCCATGATCTTGGTTGCCACCCAATGTGGAGTTCGCAACCCAAGTCAAAATTTTCATGAAATTTTTGTTCGTGACCCTTGGTTCACAACGAACCAACGACCCGTGGTTCGTTGCAAACCAAGGCATTCATGAGCTGAGGCACCACTGTATATTGTAGAGTCATGTATATTTAATGAATTGGCTTAATCCATTCTGAGAACCAAGTTAGCAAGGGGCCTTCAGCATTTCTTATTTCAGCTAATTTCATAACTTGCTTATGTGAAGAAGAGCTTCCTTTGCTCTTTTCTGAATCTGCTTCCTCCCATGTTATTTGTGACTTCACCTTCAGTTAAGTCCACTTCTTGACAAGAGTGTTGAGAGAGTGCAGTCAAAGCTCTAGATCCCCTTCACAAAATTTTAAATCTCCAACTATTGGCGGGGGTGGGGGCAGGGTGGCTTGCTTGCTTGGATTTTTGATGGAAGAGTTGGCTGGGAGGGTACGGGCACTGACATTCTACTGGTTCAAGCTTGCCATGGTAGATATTCCAACAAGGTCAAGCAGGTTGAAATAGGCTGACATAAAGCAATTATTTGTAGATCTGGGATAGGGAATGTATGGCTCCCCAGATGTGGAGTGCAGCTGCCCTCAACGCTCACTATGATTTAGGACTGGTGGAATTTGCACTGCACATCTGGAGGACCATGTGTTCCCACCCATGGTGTAAATGCTGCCCCCTGAGCACCAGAGCAACAGTTTGCTTGCATAGCATCTGTACAACCGCTCCACAATTCCACCTGCATCTCAGGCAGATGGCATAATGGGAAGAGTGCAACGTCTTCTCAAATCCCAGATCTATAGATGATTTTGAGCTGCAGTATGGCCTGTTTTCTTGTCTCTGCTTCAGGTCAAGGAACAGGAGCTCAATCCTGATGTCATTCAGCGAATGCTTTCTTTGACATTTCATCAGGTAGGGATATCATTTTGCAGACTCTTAACTGATGGGGCCAGGCCAGGGCCATGGGCATCTAAGTAGGGGGTGTAGGGGTGGCATCTAAGTCCAAGTCTTGGGGTATTACATTCTCAATTTCTGGCTTCTCCAGAAGTTGAGAATGAGCTGAAGGAGCATCAAGAAGAAAAGCACTGCTCTGTGGATGCAAAACATGATGCAAGCCCCCCCCCCCCATTATTCATAGTTTAAAATTATTTCAGATAAATGTGTGTTGCTGTCTGTGATGTCTGTTTACTTGTTTGTATACATATGTTTTATAATGTATTTTAATGTATTGATTTTTGTAAATCCAAAAAGGCAGTTTAGTTAAAGAATGGAACAGAAATGTAAAGAATGAAAATGTAATAATGCAATTTAAAAATAATCATTTAAATGTGGAGAGTGTACATCTCGACACATTGACCTGTTAATGAAAACATGCCACCAACAGTTCTTATTGCTTGCTCAGGGCATGTTGGTATGCATCAGATGCCATAGGCTAATTATTCACCAGAGCACAGGGCTTCTCATGTCTCCTGAATATGAAGGCCATGGTTTGTTTAGGGGAAACAACTATCAGATCCGCCGTGGCTTGTTGTTGGTTATTTGAGGATTATTTCCTCCTCAAGCAAGCCATGCTGCCACGGTCTGGATGATGCAACAATCCATGCCTGGTGGGTAATTGAGGAAATGGTGCTCCCATGTATCAGCACATTCCACGGACTGAAACAAATCACTGTGGCTTAAGCCATGGTGGTTCGTATGATTGTGTACACCTGTACATACCTGGAAGGGACCAGGTGAACTTTGTACCTGCTGTTGCACCCTGCAGCTGTTCCTTCACTGTTCACTGCCATTGTCAGTCCCCTGCGATGACCCTATACCTGGGAAGTGAGAATGTGGCCTCCATCAAATCTTGGTCGCTTGGCTGATGAATGAGGACTCATAAACACGACAGTACAGCAACTTTTGGACACATCTACAAAATCATTTTGAACACGGTTCACCAATTAGGGCTTCAAGGCCTTGCTCAAACAATTTGTCTGCAGAGGCAGAAAATATAAACAAAATGTTCCCTCCTTTCACAATTAAATGTCACACATGACATTTCAAAATCTGCTTTCCCCTCCCTCAGTTCAAAACGCAAATGTAAACCTCCCACTGCTAAGAATGTTCTTTTAAAACTTGTTCTGTCTCTGCCACCAAATGCAGACCCAGCATGCAGAGTGGAAGAATGGCTTATGGGTAGCATCTTTTCTATATGATGTGGCTGCTCTGTAGGAGACCAAATGGCCCAAACAGAAGGGTGTTGATTACTGATTTTCTCATCCTAGGAGGAACATGTTATTGCCCATTTCCAGTACATGGCCTGGCCAGACCGGGGCATCCCAGACACTTACGGTCACTTCCTTGATATGATTGAGTATGTGAGATGTAAGCAGGGTGAGGACACCGTACCCATCTGTGTGCATTGCAGGTAGGGGGCACCTTGGGGCAAAGTCCTATAGACAGACAGCATTGCCCACTCACTGAGTAAATGCTGCACTCACGAAATAAGCAAGCAAGGCCTCTTCTTGGCCGGTAGCTGGTTAATGTGGAGAGAAGGAATAAATGGATGGTTCTTGCAGTGGAAGGAGGTATGAAGACCTGTTCTCTCCTGCAGAGGAAGGCAGGACACGCTCCAACGGAGCAAAGCTCAGGGAGCCAAGGTTCCATTTGGATGCCAGGAAGCACTTCCTGACAGTCAGGACCCCGAGGCTGTGGAATGGGCTTCCACGAGAGGTTCCTGAGGCCCCATTGGTGCAGGTGTTCAAGGATAGGCTGGACGTCCACATGGTGGGCATGTCGTGAGTGGAGCCGGCTGGTGCCAGAGGTCAGACTGGATGGCCCGGGAGGCCCTTCTGACTTGCTCTGTTTCTATGTTTCTATGTTAAGTAGATCTGTATTTTACAGGGCTTGTGTTTTAAAATGTTAATAAATGGTGGGAAAATTAGGGTTGAATAGAAAGGTTGCCAAGCTTAGATAGAGTGGTAAAATCATTCCGGGAGTTTAAAATAGATAGCACAGAGCTCAGATGCTGTCTCTCCCAACTGGGCAACAACAGGTTCAGGCAGAGGAAAAAATCCCATTTCTACTGCAATGCCTGGCTTAAGCCTATTTGAAAGAACCAAGTTACTTTGTAGATAGACCATCTCTCACTACCTTCTTCTTTTCTCTCTTCGCAGTGCTGGCTGTGGCCGGACAGGTGTCATCTGTACACTGGATTATATACGGCAGTTGCTACTCAAACAGGTATTTCAGCCCTTTAGGCAAGTTGGGCCTGATCTAAGGAAGAAAGGGCTGAATTGACTTCTCAATGAATCGGTTTGTCTTTGGGTCTGTCTCTGCCTGCCTGCCTGCCTGCCTGCCTGCCTTGATTCTTCTGGTCTGTTTGTATGAACAACGGCATGCTTAGGCAAGCAAGTAGGACATGTGGGCAATGCCTGCACCTCCAGATGGTTTGGCATACAACTCCCATCACCCCTAGCCAATGGTGAGGGGCCATGGATTTTGTAGGCCAAAGTGCCACAATAGCTACAAGTTGCCCACTCTGATGTAGGATTTAGCACAATCTTCCCCAATTTGCTATCCTCCAGAGGAGTTAGACTTTAGCTCCCACTATCCTAGATCAGGGTGGTGAATGTTGAACCTTAACACATCTGAAGGATCCCCACATTGGCTATTTTTGGAAGAAAATTCTTGAACTCAAGGATAAACCAATTTTTTTAATCCTTCATGCACATACTAATGATCATCAGGATGGGGTTGGGGTCATGTCTAGTGTTTAAAGGTAAAGGTTTCCTCTTGACATTAAGTTCAGTCATGCCTGACTCTAGGGGGTGGTGCTCATCTCCGTTTCTTAGCCAAGGGAGCCAGCGTTTGTCTGCAGACAATCTCCGTGGTCATGTGGCCAGCATGACTAAACATTGAGGTGCACGGAACGCTGTTGCTTGCCCACCGAAGTGGTACCTTTTTATGTACTTGCATTTGCATGCTTTCAAACTGCAAGGTTGGCAGGAGCTGGGACAGAGCAACGGGAACTCACCCCGTTGTGCAGATTCGAACCGGCGACCTTTCAATCAACCAGCCCAGCAGCACAGCGGTTTAAACCACTGTGCCACCTGCTAGTGTTTGTGGCTAGCTTTAAGCTTCAACAAGAGGTATTTTTGTTGCTAAATTGTTTTTGGATTTCTCTTTTGTTAGGCCTTAGTATGATTGCTTAACATTTCTTTATTGTGCATTTTGCCCATGTATTTATTTCTGTGATATGTTTAACCTACCTCAATGAAGACTTATCTTGTTACCATTTGTTAAGGTTAATGAATGGTCAGAAAATGTTGCTGTATTTTACTGGGGGAAGGGTCATAATGTTTCTATACACCATTTTGAGCAAGGCTTTCTCCTGGAAAAGCAGCATACAGATAAACTGATGATGAAGAAGATTAATAATGTTACATGTAGCTTGGTCCTCAGTTTTGGGAACAAGTAGCCTCTGAAAAGGAACTTGGCAGCCCAATCCCATTCCAATCTCATTGAAATGCTTTTAGCTCCCAGGAAAATGTCTCAACTCCTGTGCCCTCTGCTTCTTTCAGACAATGCCTCTTAGGATATGTTCTCTCACCTCAGAGGGAACATGAAATGGGGAAAACAGAGTAACAAATGGGGGACTTATCTAAATAGAGGTGCGTTGCTTCTATGAGGCTTTGCTCTTATGTGAAAGCAAGCCCAGATATCCTCCAAATGCCACATTCTCCCCTGTCTTTTCAGAGGATCCCTCCTCATTTCAACATTTTTGATATCGTCTTACAAATGAGGAAGCAGAGACCAGCTGCTGTTCAAACCCAGGTGAGCCCTGTGCCTGCTGCTTCCATCCCAGTTGGCCCAAGACCTTTTACTGCCCATGGCCAAAGACAAGAGAGAGGCAACCACTCCACTCCCAGCATCCACGGCTGCCTCACTCTGCATAAAGGCAGGACCATCTCTGCTCTCTTCCATATCCATAATTCCCCTTTGATGCATCCCTTGTAACATTGCTTTATTTTCCCTGATATGAAGAAACAGCTGTCATTCACATATGGACAAAGCTAAAGGGATGTGTCTAGTTACCACTGGGGTGAGAGCCAAAGTATAAACTGCCACTGGTGTCTTTGGAGTACTGCTTTGCTGCCTCTCTGCTGTAACCCATAGAACGTGTTTTATATCTGGACCCACAGAACTGGGTCAGAGCCACTGGGGAATGGGATAGCCCCCATGGACATCATACCAAAGGCTTGCTTGCATGTCCTGGCCAATGTGAGACTGCTTACAGCCTTCGCCAACCTGATACCCATTAGATGTTTTGGTGTACAGCATGACCAGTGGTTAAAAATCCTATAGTCCAAAATATCTAGAGAGCATCAGTTCAGGGAAGCCTATGCCAGAGTATGGTAGAACCTCGGAGATTCTAGGAGCTGGCTTTTATGGAGAGAAGCACTCTTCTCATATCCATCTCCTATTTCTTTGGCAGGAGCAGTACCAGTTTGTCTATCATGCTGTTACTGAAATGTTCTGGGCTGCCCTGAACTTCTCTAACAAAAAGTATGAAAACATCAAAGAGGTAAGAAAAAGGCTCAGAGACGAGAGTGTCTGCAGCTCTCTCCACAGAGGGGCAGTGTCTTCTAATTCGTTTATGAAAACCAACATTAATTCTCTGCCCTAGAGGGCAGTAAACAGCTTCCTGTTTGGGGCTGCACAAAGTTTAATTTCTTGTGATTGTCCTGCCTTTGACTGCAATGTTTCATTTTCTGCCTTTGACTGCCTACTTAAAGGCCTTCAGGAGACACAAATATGTACAAGATTAAAAAAAAATACCTTATACTTTTTAACAATGAAACTTGGCCAAATATTTGGTGGCATCAACGACATGGAAGAAGGGGTGAACAGTCTGCTGATCAAATTTGCAGATGGTACTAAAACCAGGGCAGTGGCCACAACTGAGGAGTGGCCACAACTGAGGAGAAGGTACTCCATATCCAAAAGGATCTGGACAGACTATGGAAGTGGGCAGGAGACAACAGGATGGCGTTCAATGTGGATAAGTGCAAGGTCTTGCACTTGGGGCATAGGAATGGGTGTCATAAGTACAGGTTAGGGAACAAGTGGCTGGAGAACATCCCTTGTGAAAGGGATCTTGGGGTGCTGGTTGACTGCAGGCTAAACATGAGTCAGCAGTGTGATGCGGTGGTCAAGAGGGCGAATGCCACCCTTGGTTGCATAGCTAGAAGCATGGCTTCTAGATTGAGAGGTATTACTACCACTCTATGTTACTCTGGTGCACCTGCAACTGGAGTATTGTGTTCAGTTTTGGGCCCCTTGTTACAAGAAGGATATAGCCAGGTTAGAGTCAGTGCAGCGTAGGGCCACAAGGTTAGCGACTGGTTTGCAGGGAAAGCTGTATGAGGCGAGACTGAGGGAACTGCGTCTTTTCAGCCTGGAGAAGAGGAGACTCAGAGGGGATCTGTTGGCGACATACAGGTATGTGAGGGGGTGTCACATGGAGGTGGGTAGAGTCCTGTTCTCCCCTGCAGAGAAGGGCAGTACACACTCCAACGGAGTGAAGCTCAGGGAACCAAGGTTCCGTTTAGATGTCAGGAAGTACTTCCTGACAGTTAGGACCCCGAGGGTATGGACCCCGAGGGTATGGAATGGGCTTCCACGGGAGGTGGTTGAGGCCCCATCGGTGACAGTGTTCAAGGATAGGCTAAACATGCACATGGTGGGCATGTCGTGAGTGGAGCTGGCTGGAGCCAGGGGTCAGACTAGATGGCCCAGGAAGCCCCTGACTTGCTCTATTTCTGTTTCTCTGTTTCTGTTTTAAAGTAAACCCTTTGTAAGTTTCATTTCTCTGGTTGTATTCATTCCTGAAGTCAGTCATTCCTGAATGCTTAAAGATCAGCATTTCTGGGTATGATCTTTTTGCAAAATGTGTGCATGTGCATGTGTTACATGAAGTTATTGGTTTACCTATTCAGTTATTACATTTTTATACCATGTTATCTTCAAGGAATATGCATTAGCCTTTTCCAACCTGCTATGTTGAACTACAACTCCCACCGTCCCCTAGCTAGCCAAGTAGTCTAACAAATCTGAAGGATGCCAGGTTGGGAAAGATGGACATGCACCATTTCTCTCCTGCCTTCTCACATTTTATGCTCACAAACGCCCACTGAGGCTGAAAAATAAAAGGTCACCCAGTGAGTGTCATGACTGAGTGGGGGTTTAAACCTGGGCCCTCCCAGCCCACTACACCACCTTGGCTTTTAACGCCTCTTAAAGAAGAAATTTATCAATGAAGGTGAGAGAAATGAACAGTTGTAGATTCCTAAATACAGTGATAACACCATACCCTTCCTTTAGTGCTATGCACATTTACTTGAAAGCACTTCCCTTTATGTTCAGCAAGACTTACTCCCAAGTTAGCATGCAAGGATTGCAGACTTATGTTCTAGAGTGTCACAGCCCTACTGTCCTTACAAAGTGGCTTAAAATTCTGCCCTACCAGAGAGGCCAAGGAGCAGTCAAGTGAGTCAGGGATCCAGTTGTTCTGGACAGTAAGGGAGCCAAGCATAATGTGATAGGGTGCTGCCTGGGAGCCAAACAAGTCACTTTAAAGCTGTCTCTGTTCCTCTATCTCCACTTGGCACTGGAACCCTGATCTGGAGTACATGATCAGTTTGGCTTCCCTTTCTTGAGTAGGGCTCAGAGATGGGAGACCTCATGCTGCCAGGGGGCAGTTTGCCTCTGGCTGCTGCTGGGCTTCACCTTGGACAGGTTGCTTCCTCTGCTCCTGGGAGTGATCCGGGTAGGGCTGGAACAGGTGGCCTGGGTAGTACCAGTCAGAGCACTTGGGTTCCTCTGAACCTGCAGCATCCTCAGGCAAGAGATCTTGGGAATCCAACTGGAGCACTTCTCCTGGGGAAGGAGGATTTAATCCTTTGTTCTAAATGACATTTCCTCAAAGCTGCTAGTAACCACACAGGGAGAGACAAATTACAGACACCTATATGAAAATTACCCCATTTAACTTCTGCTTTGTTCTGTTGTTCCATCTCTGTCTCTCACACATGAGATCCCCACACACACATGCCTTCTGCTACTCTGTTTAGAGAAAGTTCAATTTTTCTTAGGCTCACTTCCCCAAAGAGGCAGTGCATTAATTTTCACACATCTACTCATGAGGATGATCCTCCTTTGCAATCCTGATGCCACTTTTAAGAAGGATCATGTAGCTGTGTGCAAATAAATTACCTACAGAGGGTTCACAAAGGACACTGAGGTACAGAAGGGAGTGAGATGAGATGAGGGTTCAGAGGGTGGCATTTGAAAGAACACCACAACCACCACACTTCCCTTTCTTGTGTCTGAATCTTGCAGCTGGGCAGGAAGGGCGGATCAGCTACTTCAGACATTTTCTAGCTGAGCTCAGCAGATCCATCTTGTGGTCATGTTCTCTTAGCATTTGAAAATGTTCTCACAGAGTTGCAGGCCAGGCTGTCACCCTGCTTGGAATCTGGAGATGTTTCAATTCCGGCAATGCATTCCTGTATTCCTCCTGATTGCATTTCAACGTTGCCTGTCTGCTTAATGATGGGTAAATTCTTCATATGCTCACAGAGTTATGAACCCCAAATATAAAGACAAAAGTCCACAATTATTACAAGTTACTGAATTATCTTCAGTGTGAGTGTGTGTGAGTGTGCGCGTGCATGCGCACAAGGATCACATCACTGAAGTGCATCGTGAAAACATGGCATGTGTAATGTAGTGCTCTTCCCAGCAGGTACCCAATGTTAATTGAACTTGATTTTTAAAAATAACTTTCAGTAAGCAGCAAGGTATCTTGTCAGGGACTTCAAGGTGAAGTTAGCATTTTTTTATAATGCACATTTTATTCATTTATAGGTTAGCTCTTAAAGAATCTGAATGTTTTTGTTGTTTTTAATTCAGACCCTAAACATCCAGTGAAATAAACACCAACAAGCCCAGCAAAACTGTTCACATGATCATAGAATATAATGAAAATAAGCCACAGGGCCTTTTTCTCTGCCACTTGTAAGCCCATAATTACCCAGAGGGAGAGTGAATTGTGACACCTCAAAACCCATGGTTTGTTTTACAGCTCCTGGGTGGTTTGTAAACCTTTCCAGCCAGCCACCTTCATGGGGTCTGGAGATCATGACAACCTCCTCTCAGCCTGGGAAATCATGCTAAATAGGCAGCTCATTACTGGCATGTTCAGGGAGGGAAAATTAACCACCATGGCTTTCCCCCCTCTGTGGTCATGCAAACCCACCCAGAGCCTCAGGCAGGGAAGTTTGGTGACTTCTCTGTCAGTGAGGCTCTTTTTCCACTAACTCCAAGGTTCATGAAAGCTGTGCTGGGTGCTTAATTCCACCCCCAAAATAGTTCATCACCACAAGCCAATCTGATGAAACTCAGAATAAAAGCTGCAATGGATGAGGAGCTCCATCAAGACAGACATCACCAGCTTCTCCTGGGTTCCTGAAGACTCAGCCTCTCCCCCAAAACCTTCTGGAAGAGAAAGGTTATAATCCCTCCAAAATATTGTCAGAGAAAAGCTTCTTGGGACTTCTTTAGAGAGCATTTTCCATAGCCTTGGAGAATGGGAAGATGTGCTCTGCTTCGATGCCCAAATTATAAGTGCAGTATGCGTGCTGGGCGTACCATTGCCAGCAGTGGCACCCCTGGTTTTTCCCCCAAGTCCCCTCAACACACACAGAGCCATTCTCTCTCTTGGAGGACAAAGTGCACTCCCGTCCGTAGCTCTTAAACTGGCCTGCTGCCTTGGGGGTGGGTGTCCCCTGGCTCATGTTTTGATGTAAAACTACTGCCAGTCCAGTCAGCCTCTGTACATGGAGAGGTGAAGGGGATGGCTCCAGTGAAATCCATATGCCCCCTTACGTGGCTACACCTAACTTTAGCCAGAGCAGCACCCTCCCCATAATCTTTTAAGAACACTACCAATGAGGGCACCAGGCCTCTTCCACCCTGCAATGTGGGCACTGCTCCGCTTCTTTGCCACAGAAGGTCCCTCATTTCACATACCCAAAAGAGGGCTGCACTCTCACCTCACAAACATTAGTGAAGCCCGTCTGACCACAGGAAATCTAGGTGTGGGTCTCACAAACAGCAAGTGTGGTAAGCCTGTTTGCGATCTGTTTTGCTTGAGTCTTCACAAGGGGGATAGCAATCGATAGTTAGAAATATGCAGTGCTTTTTTGTTAAAAAAAAGGTGCTGGAACTCACGTCGCCGGGAGTAAGCACACACACCGATCCCAAGCCAGCAGCGGAGCAGCGTCTGGAGCAGCTATCTCTCACTATCAGATAGCAGATCGCAGACACAATAGCAGCCTGCAGGCACCATGTTAATGATGTTTGCTGCTGATCTGTTACGCCAAAATCACTTCGTAAAATCCATTGAAAAAAAGGTGCTGGAACGCCGTTCATGTGCGTTCTATGACAAAAAAAGCCCTGGAAATATGGCACGACAGGCCAAGCCAGAAGCCTTCTCTCACCTCCCCTGGATTGCCATGCAGTTTTCCAAAAGGGTGAGGGAGTATTCATTAGCATCATTGCTACATACTTGGAGGAATTCTGTCATAGGACAGACAACTTTCCTATATCTGAAAGTCTGAGAATCTTGGTGGGGAAATGGGAAAAGTTCATATGATCTGGCAAGTCCAATGCTAGGAAATAGTAACCATTGCACAGAATTCTGGGTACACCGGTACATTTGGGAACACCTTTGCAAGATAGGATTTTTCCAAGGGCAATGAAAGACTGAAGGGAATGGAGGCTCAGGAGCTCACGTTTACTGGTCTCTTTCTCTCTCCCTCTCATAAGCACGCACAGGGTTAATGCATAATATTTCTTATTTCTCACTTCCTGCAGCAGGAAGTATAGGCAGCTGTGCTGACCTGAAATTTCCCTCACTTCCCTTCTCTTCTGTTTTGCGCAGAACAGTCTATCGCTCTATGACGACGCCCTCTCCCTCCGACACCCTGCGGCTCCCCTGCTCAAAAGAAGCACCATCCTCCGGTAAGGAGGGCTTAAGGAGGGCTTAGGAACTGACCCATCGGAATAGCTGCCTGTCACCTTCTGCCCTACAGAAAAGCAGAGTCTTTCCTGTAGTAGCACCTCGCTGGGGAAGTCCAGTTTATACAAACTTTGGGGCGGTGATTTGGGGCAGTTTCTCAAAAAACTTCATGGTGGGAGAAAATGTTTGGGGGGTGGGGTTCAACAGAGTGCTGTTTATCCATTTTTATATTCTAAGATGGTTGATTATCATGTAATTATTATTCTCTTGTTTTATGCTTTGGATATATTTGAAGGGGTTTGGGCTATCTTAATCCTGTTCTGTGGAAAACTGCAGGCTAAGTGGAGGGAATGACAATAATGAGAGCTTTAATAAAGCTGCTGCAAGAAGTGAAGGAGTTGAGGCAGGATTGAAAAGGATGTCTATTTGGCCTGAACACTCATCAAATCATAGAATAGTAGGATTGGAAGAGGCCAAGAAGGCCATCAGGTCCAACCCTCTGCTGTTGCAGGACACCATGTTACACCATTCCGTTCAGGTGACCATCCAGTTACTTTCTGAATGCCTCTAGTGTGGGAGAGGCCACGACCTCTGTAGGTAACTGGTTTCACTGTCATATTGCTCTGACAGTGAGGAAACGTTTTCTTGATATCTAGCCTGAATCTGAGTTGTTGCAACAACACTCTGGTATGAGCGAGAAGAGATCTTGTCCTTCTTCTTTGTGACAGCCTTTCAGGTACTTATAAAGTGGTATCATGTCCACCCTCAGTCTTCTCTTCTCAACTTTTAAATAGAACCTGTTTAACTACTGGGCTTCTTCTTAATGCCACCTCTTTATCTGCCCTCCACTAACTGCTCAGGTCTGGAAACCAGTATTTGGATGAGCAGTTGTGAAGGAATGAAAGTTGAGCTGGATGTAGGAGCAGAGGGTAGACTGAGACTGCAGGAAGCAGACTGGAAAATGAGTGTGAGTTTACCATGTCCACTGTCCTTGATATGAGAAAAGAACAACTGCAACCCATTGAATAGCATAGTTCTCCAGCGTGGGGAAGCAAAACAGCAGCTAAATACAAGTTGGTTCTTGGGGTGCATTTCTCTCTGTTGGATCCCAGGGTTCCTTAGGAAAAATTCTAGGCAGAGCTGCTGCTGATAAATAACAGCAAACTTTTATTTGTATATACAATTTCTTAAAGCAATTCCAGCTTTGTTGTTCTGCAAAAGTTCTAACCAACTTTTGAAGAAAATGGACCTCACAAAATGTCCATTTGGAAGGGGCGAAGGATGTTTAGGCTGGCTTGTAGTTCCTGAAATCCTGTTAGAGAGGAGACATTTGTAGGCCTCTGTATTATCTGATCTAGGAGTATCTCGGTGCCAGCTGAACCAACCCCCTCAGCACTTCCAGACTTGCCACCAAAACTCACCAGGAACATGGGAGACACCTATGCTGTGGTGAACAAATTCCGGCAGAGCAAGGCGGGAGCATCTCCTACCAGTGAGGCCAAACCTGATTCAGAGCCACCCCAGTATGCTGCCGTGAAGCCTTGGAACAGCAGTATGCTCGACCCCGCAGCGATTGACCCCACTGCCTTTGTGGGGTTACAGGCCAGCCACTCGCTACCTGGGAGTCCTGTACGGCGGCTGTCTCCCAGCACAGCCTGCGATTACTCCAGCTGTATCTCATCTCTCTCAGGTGATGTATGAGAATAGGTGTGTGCAAGAAGTTGTTTTTTATAGAACAATACTAATGATATTAGAGTAGTCTTCCTTGATATATATCTGTGTGATCTCTAAGATTATCAGGAGAGGTGCTGTTGGTTGTGCTGCACTTCCATGTTGCTGCCTTGAAGCAACCCAGAAGCAGGTATTCACCAAGGTAGTGTCCACCTTATAAAATGTCCTCCCAGTCCTATTCAGGAGGCACTAATACACCTCCTTATCCAACCCTTATCTGAATTATTGTGCTGCCTGGTTAGTTTGCCTATTAGTTGTTATTACTATTATTACATTACATTTATATGTAATGTATATGTATATACCTTTATATGTATATACATTTATATCCCACCTTTTTCCCCTTGCAAAGAGCCTAAGGCAGTCTTTCTTCCCCTCCATTTTATCCTCACAGCAACAACCCTGTGAGGCAGGTTAGGCTGAAAGTCCACGATTAGCCCAAAGTCACTCATCAAGCTAAATGGTTATATGGGAACCAGAACCCAGATCTCCTGAGTCCCAGTCCAACACTCTAACCACTATGCCACACTGGCTAAAATGGCACTTTTATTTTTGATCTTAAATATTTTAACATATGAGGTGCTTGTGTTTATTATATACTATAATTTCTGATTTTCTAAACTGCTTAGAGATGTTCTTTGATATGGTAAGTGGTATATAAATTGATTAAATAAATAGAACAAATTTTGATATTGCTGTTTTAGTGAGATGGTATTTATATAATAACTGGATATAGTATGTGCATAGTAATGTTGAACATTCAAAGCCCTTCATGTTTGCATGTCACTATAAGCCATCATAGGTTATTTCACCTCTGTGGCTCCAAGAAGCAGACCAGCTGTCATTTTGAATATGCAAACCATGGTAGGTGGGGATGTGCTGCAGCTTGTTGTGTTGTTTAAACCCAGGGATTGAGGGTTATTTGAGGGTTCTCTGAAGGCTGCTCAAGCCTCAAATCAACCATGGCACTCAAGATTGCACAGTTCGACAAGCTGTGGTGTACTCATGACATGGCTTGCCAATTTAAAATGGCAGCTGGACACATCTTGGAACTCCCAAGTAAATGGATTCATGATGGATTTTCCAGATGCGTGGGCTAGGTCAGTATCTCATTCCTCTTTTCAAACAGCTATACAAGGTAGGACTCATACTGCAAACCTGAAAGGGAAGGTTGTCATTGAGAAAATACTACCTGGCCTGAAGCCACCTCAGTTGCAATCCTATACTTGACTTGACAATATGCCCTACTGAACTCAGTGACTTAAACTTGAGTAAAGTGGCATGAGTTGTTGGTCAGTTAATGGCTGAGGAGACCTTTGAACCAAGAATGTCCTCAATCAGGGACAACCTTTCTTAAACTATTCTGCTATTTATAGATACAGATCCATTAAGATGTCAGAACAGGAGTTCTAGTGCAGGTAAGCAAGACTATGCCAGCAAAAAAAACAGGGCAAATGACAGGATCCAAATTTGCTTTTGCAGGGTACACTATAAATTTCTATATGTGTCTAGTAATGAAAAACACCCATACCAGCCTTGTACATTTTTGGTGGCATCTGTCCAAGCCTGCCCTGTAACCTGTTCAAGTTAAGCAGAGGGGTTCTTGTGGGGGATAGGTGATGGATCCTACAGGTTCAGAAAGCCCCTGTCTGGAATAAATCAACTTTTGTTTTTTGGTCTGACCTTTCTCTTCTTGTCTCCAGGTGATTCCAGTTCCAAAGCTGCCACCTCCCCTTCTCAAGCTAATGGGACTGGAAAAACCCTCTTGAGAAATCTGATGCCCCCGGTACATGATCTGCATCATATTTTCCTGCCAGGTTCCTATGCCACAATACAATACTGAACAGACCTTGACAGAAAGAATACACCAGCTGCATTTAGAAATTGGCTCTTGGAGTGAGCCATGGGAGTGTGGTTGGCTAGAGTTTTGCCTTTGGCCCTAGGGAGCTTGGGTTCAAGGGCTGCCTCTGCAAGATACTCATTGGTAGAATGGAAAATTAGTGACTTGCCTAATGACAGGTCAGTGTGAACTCAATAAAAATTGCAAAATATTTTGCAGTAGTGTAGTGCTAGATGGTAGCATTAGCCACAAGCTGGACTTTAGAGGAACAGTGACCTCTGATTCTGATTCATTTCAGTGTCTATTGTGATTGGGCTGAAGGGGCAAAAAGTCAACCAATTTCTTTCCCTCCGATACGTGCCATTTACATAGTCAAGTTTGCAAATGAAATGCAGGAAAGAGCAACATTTGGTGTTTCCTAAAAATCTCAGCTTTCTTTAAAAACAAAAAGTTCTGGCTTCTAGTCCTTATGGGAGAAATGCTTGCAAAAGTGTGAGTAATATCTAATGAAGCTTTGAAAGAAAGAGCAGCTGCCGAGTAAGGTTCCCTGCAGCCTGGGCTTCTGTGTTTGCTCCCCCCCGCCCCCCCGCACCCTCCCATGACCAGGAGAACAAAACAATTAAGATGTACATCAATTTGTGTAAAAGCAGCATTATTCAGATGTGCTTGATTTGCATACTTCATAAAAGTTTATTTATTTAAAGCTTTTCTATCCCATCCTATTACAGAACATCTAGAATGTTAATAGATGTTATAGAAAGTAACAGAATTTACTGGTGACAGAATTTGGGTTACTTTGGATCAGAAATCCAAAGGGTTTTTCCTAGGTTTGGAAAAATACCTGAAGGTGTGCTAGAAGTCCAGAAGGCTAAACCCTCTCTTTCTTGTTATATTCATGTGTTGCTTTTTCCTGAATAACAGATGGAACAATAGGATTTGTGCAATCCTGTTCTTGATCATTTTGTTTCAAGAACAGAGGAGAATCCTGGGCCTGAGTCATCCCCATCCTTGTGACTGCTGCAGCGTAGGAGCTGGGTGTTGGGCTCCTTTCTGCCCAGGGGCAAGATTCAATTTCTGAAGTGCTCTCAGTGGGAAGTGGGAAAGTACAAGGTGTATTCCACTAGTGGGAAGGACCAAAGGCAAAAGCAGCAAGGCCAAAATATTTTTGAACTTAAAGCTATTGCTGCCAAGAAATAAGTTTTGGGAAAGTCATATGAGCCTTTAGAGTGGGGACAAAGCTGCACAAAAGCCAGGATATTTCAGAATGATCTGTGATGTGGCGAAAGGAAGTAAAGAGAGCACAGGGGTCGGTGGCCATCTAGGGAACTGCAGGGCTGGGCTGGAACCCCAGACCAAAGGGCCTGTGCCTGTGCTATTGGAGGGTGCTGAGCTGAAGCTTGTTGGAGCAGAGAGACTTTTCTTGTTCTCCTAATATGTGTTTTCCTCCCCTCTCTCTAGGCTTTTACATCATCACCAGTGAAGAAAGGTGAGAAGCAAAGCAGTTTATACATGACACAGGGATTCTTGGGTTGAATGCAGCGTTAGAATAGACCCATTGAAAATGAGGCCCAGCACACACTCCCCACAAAGATGTGGCCTGCAATTCCTCACTCATGATGTTCAGGTGGTAGCCAAGCACACACGCTGCAAGATCAACTGGCTAACCAGCTGCAGCCTCTCCTGGAGAGCAGTCCCCGGTCTTGATCTCACCAGATCATGCCCAGTTGCATCCAGACTGGATTATGACAACATGCTCAGTGCTTGAATTATGGGGCAACAGTGGAGGTGGTTTTATTTTAGAAAATCCACACACCCTACTCCCTAAAGTCTGATTTAGGTAAACTACCTTTTCTGTAGTCTTCCAAACTTTTAAAAGGGGCTATCACAAACATGGGGCTTGAGCCCCTTCGCCTCCCTGTAATTCAAGCACCAAGAAAAACCCTGAATAGGGGTGGGTGTGAAGCTTTACCCAGAAACTACAACTAGGTCAAAATATAGGTCATAGGGTATTGCATGGAGAATGATGTCCATTTTGCAACCACCTCACTGGTTCTCAGTTGGTTTCAGGGCCCTTTGCTGGCTCCCAATTAGCTTTTGGGGTGTATGCTGCTTTTTCCTGTGGAAGCCCTAAATCATAGGTCCTCAAAGTAAGGCCTGGGGCCAGCCCGCCATGCCCATTTATCCAGCCCACCATGCCCATTTGGACACGCCACGCGCGTGCCGCCCGCTGCTGCCCACCTTGCCCCACATGGGGGGAAGCAGCGGTTTGCTTGCTTGGAGAAAATGATCTCCAAGCGAGCAAGCCACTGCCTCGTGCGCCTACCTCACGGCATGTGCCTGCGCCATCCGCACCTCACCTCACTTTGCCTCGCCACGTGCCCCGCTGCCCCCCTCAGTGCACTTGCCTGCCTGCGCAGCCCCCACCCCTGTGCCGGCCCCTGCTGGCCCGTGCACATCACCAGCACCTTTCCGGCCCACGCCCAGCACCGGCAGCTTTCAACTGGCCCCCTGGTGGAAAAGTTTGAGGACCCCTGCCCTAAACGATCTTGGATGCCTTAAGGACAACCTGTCCACATGCAAACCTGCCATGTTAAAATCCTCTTGAGGGACCCTGTTCCTCTTTTTGTTGCCTGAAATACAGGTGGTGGTGATGTAGCGCAGGGCCTTCATTGTGGTGGGCCTTCTGTTGTGGAGCTCCCTCCCTAGGCTCCTTTGCTTGCTGGCTTTCTTCTACCAGGCTAAGCCAGGCTTCTTCAGGAAGGCTTTTGGGAAAATGGAGTAAGTAAAATAAACATACTGCATCCTGGCAAGATGTGATGTATTAGAGCTGGGATGCAAAACCTCTTTTAAACTAAAGGCTGAATGCCATTTTAGAGAAGTGGTTATCCCAGTGGTGTGGGCCCTGAAAGGAAAAAAGGATGGGGCTAGGAATATCCACATACTCCAACTTAAAGCTTGTATTGGCAAGAACCAAGTTTTGCTACCTGTTCATATACTGAAAGTATTGTAAGGCCCTCTGCCTATGGTTGTTACAGGAGGCTTTTACCCTTCTAATATTGTACTATCAGTCTTTTACCTGGCAAGAGAGCACAGAAGATCTATTTGCCTTTCTATTTCTTAATTTCCATGGAGCAGGTCAATCTTTGCAGGTCAGTTTAAAAGCATGTGAAGATAAATGAATATTAAACACTATTCCAGAACAAAAATTCTGTGTAGCGGCTACTAGACATGATCAAAACATGAGCTTAAAAGAAACATGAGCTGTGCTGCACCACCCACAATCAGCTGAATTAGACCCATTTTAGAGAGATATCCTGGTGTCCAACAGACACGAAACACAGTGTTGGCCAAGTAAGATGCAGCCAAAGTTTCATAGATGTGACAGGTAAATGCCCAAATGGCAATCCATTGATTAGGCCTTTTGTGGTGCTGCTCACAGCAGTTTCTTAAATTCCCAAATGGGTGGACAGGTTCAAGGAAGTTGGGGATCCTGTTTTAGGCCATATGACTACTAAGATTTAAACCTCAGAGGCAAGGGCTGGTGAAATGATTTGTTTCTCAGATGCAACCTCTAGGGTTTGGGGTGGATGTTTTGATGCCCTACCAATGCTTACCCTGCACGGATCATAGAATACAACTTTTCCAGCACCATGTTTCACCAGCAAAAGCGTATGTATTCCAGTTAGTTTCTGTGCATACTCTAAAGAGCTTACAGCTTGCTGTTTGATTGGTGACTGTTTCAGTCCTGGTCAAGCCCAAACTGTACCTGAAGTTTCCAGTGGACAAAGGCCAGCTTGCACCTAACAAAAGGTCACTAGCAGCTTAGGAGCTGAGCGCCTCTCAGTGTTTTGGCTATTGGGGAATGTTTGCTTCAATTTGTTGTGTGCTAGCACATTACAGGCATTATGTTCCCTTCTTTTGAACAGCTCCACTATCTCCCCGGACTCCCTCTGCGCAAACATATGAAGAAGTGGGTGATACCACTCCCAGGGGCGGCTCAAATGCTGTGGGGGTCCCTGCCAATGCAATGGGTAAGGCAAACTTTGAGCAAAGGAATAATATTGCAACATGCTGCACTTGGTGGGGAAAAGTACAAGCTTGGGGGCTAATGTGTGTATTGGACAGCAAGGAGTTTCAAAATGTGTACCTATTTTTCACATTTTTAATGCCCTGGTTTGTTTGTAATTTGCTGATAGTTTCTAAGTTGCATACTTGTAAATGCTGCCTGATCACCCCCTTTGTGAGAGTGACCAAACCATCTATGGACCTTGCCCAGGATTTCCCTTACTCCTCCTAGTAAGAGGAGGTATTTCTGTAAAGGAGGGTTCTGGTTAGGCTTGAACACAAATAAAGAGAGCTGCAGTAACCAAGGGTCTCTATGGAGAGGATGGGAAAGGGAAAAGGAATTGTACATATATGTAGTTATATCAAGAAAATGGCCATGGGGAGAAGGGGAAAGAAGAATTGTTAATGAAGAGAAATTCAGAGAGATCTATGGAGCGCTCTTCATATTCTGCCCTGTGCTAATCTGAAAACTGACCAGTAGGAGCTGGTCAGTTGAGTTGGTTATTTTTACTCTGTTGTGTTTTTAATATTTTTATCATCATTTTAATTTTTGAAATATTTATATTCCCATGATTGCCAGTCTCCTTGAATGCTGTGTACAAATCCAATAAATAAAATCCAGTATGGCACAAACAATTCTAAATCTTGCCTAGAGATGAAAGCAGGAAAAACTGAGCTGGGGAATATTACCAAAGTACTGTAATGACAGGACAAACTTCTCAGTAGAATCTCCCTCCCCCTTCCTTCCCACTCTTTACATAGGCTTTAACTTCCGCATTGGGAAGCCCAAAGGACCCAGAGACCCTCCTGCTGAGTGGAGCCGAGAATAGATGCTTTGGAGAAAATGAGAGACAAAAAGGGACACTGCTGCAGCCATGGAGTGACAGGCTGGACTGGACTGCTTCGTGCTCACCCTGCGGGAGGGAGTGGAGGCACAAACTGAGCAGGTTGTCCTCCGGAGCCATGGAGCACACTGGAGCAGCTGCAGTCACTACACCTCAGGAATTTCTGAGCCAGAAGAGACCTCCGAGGGGTGGCAGTCACCGAAAGCGTCCATTAGGAAACCAAGATCCTTCCCTCAGCTTCTCTTCAGCAGATTTTGAATGGTTCTGGGGTCAGAGAATAAACTTGGCTTTCAGATTTTCATGGTCAACCAATAAAAATGTAAGCCCAGTATTGGGTGCAGTTAGCACCAGAAACTTCAAGCACTGCAGCCCCAAGTTAAACAAAAAGCATGGGAATTTATGCCATGGCGCTCTATCTGACATCAGCTAGAACAAATCCACCCTCCTCAGGAGCTCTCCACTCTCTGTAAACTCAGTTTTTCTTCTTTCTTGTCTTATTGGCAACAGTCATTTTAGGAAACAGGTGTGTGTGAGAATGGTAATGAGATGGGGAGGACTGGAAGGAAATTTTTTTTGGGCTTTGGGCCAAAAGTATCTTCAGATGCCCATCCTACACATCATCACACCTCAAACCAGTTTCTTCACAAATGAAGTTTCAACTAAGGACATAGCTGAATAACAGCATTTGAGTTCTTGCATACAGAATACTTTTGGGGGAAAAAGGCAAGGAGAGCAATGAAGGATGGAAGATCTAGGGGAGGAAGGAGAAAAAGGAAAGCCCTTTTCCCAGATACTGGAAGCCAAGCCAGTGGGACACTTGCATGTCATGTGGGTTTCAGGAAAACAGAGACGTCTTTTCCCAAAAAACTGAAGAAGTTTTTTTCTGACTCTTCTGGAAGAAACACCATAATGCAGAGAATCCTTTTTTCTTCCAAGTGATGGTCTGATGCCACTATACATACAGTTTAATTCTTCTGAAAGAGAGCAGCAGAGAGAAAAAGAGGAGGTAACAGAAGGATTTATTGCAGGGGTCCTCAAAGTTTTCCACCAGGGGGCCAGTTGAAAGGTGCTGGTGCTGGGCGTGGGCCGGAAAGGTGGTGCCAGCAGGGCGCACAGGCCAGCGAGGGGGTGGGAGCAGGGGCGGCATGTGTGGGTGCGTGTGCTGAGGCAGGGGCAGGCACGTGCTGCAAGGTGGCACGCAAGCGGCGGGTCCAAATGAGCATGGCGGGCCGGATCCAGCCCCTGGGCTGTAGTTTGAGGACCCATGATTTATTGTATCAAAAATCAGCTACGGTCAGTATTGAAGAAAGGGCCCCATTCCACATAACTGCATCCAAATAGGCTTGGGCTCCTAGAAGGGAGGCATTTTATATTGGCAGCTGGCAGGGAAATTGTTCTGTTTTTAAATCATCCTTCCCTTCATGGGTTTCCTCAACCCCTGCTTTCTGGCAGACACCTCATTCCTCAGATCCTCACTCAAGGAAATATATTCCTAGTAAACTAAGTGAAGCATCCAACAAAGTAAAAGAGGGAAAGGCAGGAAGGATTAGAGGATCCCAGTGAGCCATCTGGTTATCCTAACTTTAGGGATCATCTATTTTCACATATTTTTCAGGAACACTCTCACGTCAGCTCAAATGTCCCTTGAGAGAGGAAAAAGAAAATTCTGTCTGTTCTATCCAATCTATTTCTTCATAAGCTTAATGCAGCCTTCCCCAACCTGGTGACCTTCAGTGGCATTTGGACTACGACTCCCAGAATTCCTATCCAGTAGGGCCATTACCTGGGATTTCTGGGTGCTGCAGTCCAAATATGCCTGAAAGTCACAAGGGTGGGGAAGCCTGGCTTAATATCCTCCATTCTTCGGTCATTCTTATGAAGAACTATAAAAACAAAGTGCTCTTTGCAGCAGATGCTGCCCTCAATATCCATTCTCAGGAAACAGGCAGCAAGCTGCAAGGCAGGCCAGGACACCATCTTAAACTCCAGCTAACCAGGGAGGCACAGCGATAAGACAGGAGACCTTCGACAGCTGCCAGCACCTTGGACAAAACCACAAGACCATCGTGTAAGAAAAGCTTGGTATAGAAGGAAGCCCTTTGACTATACGGGGTTTTCAGTACTAGGAAAGGTGGAAGGGAGGACACATCGCCATTGGATGCACCCAAAGAAACCAGTCCGTGTACAGCTCAACAAGCAACCGATGTATGGCACCTCCTTGATGGGATGGAGGTGAGGCCCAAGAGAAAGAAATGCAGTCTGCAGTCCATGCTACTCAGAGCTAAGGAACTTCCGCTTCTTGGCCGTATGGGTGTATGGGTGCCAGCGCCATTCCACATCAGCTGTAGCCTCCTGTTCCAAAGTTCCCAATCTGATCATATATACTGCAGTAAAAGAAAGAACATTTCAGACTCTGGCTCTGAGAAGGCATGCAATTGGCAGCACGTGTTAAGCGTATAGTACACTTAACCCAGTACGCTTAAAGTCAGCCCAGCAAATGTACATTTGTCCAATTCAACTGCAATCCTGGGATTTCTGAAGATTTGGATATGTTAACCAACAAAGCAGAATGAAAACCATACTACAAAGCAGAATGAAAACCATACTATATAGCACTGTCCTAGTGCAGTCAGGACATTTCAGACACAGCTTACAAGTTGGTAAAATCCACATTTTTCCTCCTCTTCCTAAGATTAACTTGAGGGGAAGGCTTTCTTGGGAAGCAGCCTCTCCCCCAAGATTGGCACAGTCCACTTTAACAGAACTTTATGGACGAGAGCTTGCATTGTTTTATCTATAACACATGGGTAGGGTGTGGGAATGCTGGTCCCCTTTTTGAGGGAGGAAAGGAAAGACAGTCAATCAAACAACAGATAAAAGCTGAGTTCCTTTTCTGGGGCACTGATGTTGATGTAATTTCCAAGTTTTGTATTTCTTGTGAGTCAGTTGTAAGAAAAATGGGTTCTTTTTATTTGCTGCAGAAAAAAATTAACTGTCCAGTCATTTGTACCTGCGGAGCTATGGCTTTGTTTTTGTTTTGTCTTGTTTTTTATAATTTGCAACATGGTACAACTTTTGAAGGGATTTAAGGATGAATTTCAGCTGGTGATTATGTTTGTTATGGCTTTAGTTTTAACAATAAAGTATTGTTAAGCAACTGCAAAAAAAAAGCACAAAGGCAAAACAGCAGCAAACCTAACACTAATAGGATGCATTGTGCTGGGCACTCCAGTAAGAGTCAACTGGAGGACACTCAAATATAGCACTTGAGAATGGGAACAGAGGGCAGGAGGAATCATGTAACTGGATGCACACACTCCTCCATCTAAAAATCATGCTATTCTTAGAAAGGGGACATGTTTAAGCTTAGCTTTCTCTTGTTATTTCTTTTTTTATGCATTGAGATTATTTAAACATAAATGATGCAGTTGATATGATTCAGTGCCTGGAAGGCTACAGAGCTTTAAGACAGAACTTGAAGACCTGCTTCCCTTTGGATGTTTTGAACTACAGTTCCCATGCTGGCAGGGACGGATGGGAATTGCAGTTTGAAAAAATCTGGAGGGTGCCAAGTTACCTATCCCTGCTCCTTTAGGAGATCCAAAGTGATAAGGTCTGGAGGGTGGACATGCCTACAGCATCCAGCAAATCTGACTAGGAGTGTGTGGGACAGAAAGAACCTCTTTCAGCACAAAAGTGGGCAGTTCAGGTAAAGTCCCCTTTAATTACTGGACCGATGGGTTACCGATGCCCCAGAGAAAAAGCCACTTCTAGTTGGATGAGTTTTAAAAAGAAATGGAGAAGAAAGGATGGATTTTCTTCCCATGACTGTTGACCAATAGAACAATACATTTAATGTAAGTTTAGGAGTTTGATCTAGAAAAGCCACCCCCTGGTCAAGTACACAATCTAGAAAGGAAACCCAAGATCCTAGTTGACCAGGGCAGCCTTCTAGCAGCCATGTCTTGTGCACTTGGTGCTCAAGCTCAAAGTTAGAAGCCAAAGGAAGTGGAGTTTCAGTATCTCTACGTCAGCTTAGCATATCTGCATAATTATTTCTCAGAGGGAGAGAAAAGCAGTTCTGTAGTGAGATTCTCTTCTATCAGTCTTGCTAAAGTGAGCTGCTTCTTCAAAGATGGCACCACAACAGGATGGAATATCCTGCTGCAAGAAGCTTCTCTCTTGATTTCTTTGTAGGCAAGACATTCCTTTGCAGGAAGGAAAATTCAATCACAGGACAACCTCCTACCCACTATCTGAAGTAGGACAGTCAGGGCTGCAGGGCTGGGATGGAGACACTAATACACTCATGGAACAGTCAGCTGGAATAGTACAAAAAAGTAAATATTTTCCTGCTCAATTAAGCCACTTCACACCCATTCTTTCTAGAATCCCTGTGGCAGTGGTGTCAGGCAAGTTGGTATTATTATCCCCATGTTGCAGGTGCAGGGACTGAGGACAAGAGAAAGAGCCATATGGCCCTTAAGTGAATTCTCTGGCAAGGAAAGATTTCTCAGCCACAATTCATGCCCCTGAAGACAGTACTCACATTTCATCTCAAACCTTGGCCCAACCTCAGTGAGCTCCACATTCCGGTGATCGGTCTTCTTGTAGACGTGGTGCCTGCCCCAAAAATGCAATCTTGATCAGGTAAGGAGAAAGTGCTAGAAAAGCCAGGAGGGGCCTCATCCCCAGTGAGCAGCCCCCTGCCTCTAGGCCAGCCTTCCTCATCATCCTCATCCAGCAAGTGCATGGGGAAGGCAGCTTTACATTTTCCATGCCTTGTCTCATGGGTGCTGATGTCTCATGGGTGCTGCTCCCAAGGCCACTGCACAGCACCTGGGTGCTACGACACACCCAGGTAGGCAGAACTACTCCAAGGGGCTAGCAGTGGCCAAACCAAACACAGGACCAGTTTATACATACAGCATAATCAAGGAGCAAAACTACTCCTAGACAGCAAGTTGCATGTGTGAATGAGCCCTTGTGTTAATAATTCCTTTCCTCCTGTGCACAACAAACAGCATATTGGGTAGAGCAGGGAGACAAAATCTCCTAAAATGTGTGGGTTTTGTATATGCAAAGAGGATTTCAATGGAGGGGGAGTAAGCAAGGAGGGGGAGTCAGGTCCTAATCTGCAGCTTCGGAGGTATCACCCAAGGAAAAAATTAGGTTGCTAGATTCTGCTGAAGATATAAACCACACCTCCAAAAAGATCCAAGGGAGTCTAATCCTGCTGCATTTTCTCCCTTCAGAAGGTGGGATCAGGCAGCCCAATGTGAGCTGCACAGAATCTGTGCAGACAAAAAAAGAAAAAACAGCCAACAAATCTCAGTATGGCCTTTTTCACTCTAAACTTGCTCAGGATTGTGCCCTAAGTGACTTGACCAGCAAACATGCCAGACTTTGCCTTCCTTTGCTGAGCTGGTGGAGGGTGCCTGGGCTACTTCACTGGGTGTGGGACAAAAGTTGTAAGAAAATACCTTACAGCTCAAATAAATGGGAAGCACTGGCAAACACACACACACACACACACACACACACACACACACACACACACACACAATGGTTCTGTGGCTGCCATTTTGTCATGCCCCAGAATGCCCAGGAATGATGCCGCTCAACGTGGTGTTGCCTACAGTGGAAAAAAGCAACACAAAATGGCAGCAGCAACAAGCTGGGGAGAGTGCCAGTGAGTTTTGTACTCCTCTGCCCTCAACATTTGCCCCCATTCCTTTTTTAAAAAGCCAAAATGGTGACCACCCAGCATTAGAAATCCACCCAGTTACGATGCTTAGCCCCAGCTCCAAAGCAAAATAGGTGGTGCCATGTACCGAAAAGAGATGTAGTCCTCTTGGTTGGCAAAGGTGATGACTCGCTTGCTGTCATCTTTGGGCACCGGAAACAGGTATTTGAGGATGCTGGTGACCTGCGGGTGACAGAGCAAGGGATGGAAATCAGATCTTTCCATGGTCTGCAGGTAAAGCTCATCTCTCCCCTTGGCTAAGAGAAGCAGAATCAAGTAAATCAAATCGAAGTCTATGCAAGTATGCAGAACCTAGCCAGTAGGTTCAGAAATGTAAAGATCCAATACGGTTTGCCTAGGTGGGTGAGTTCAGGTACATAACGATATAGGTAAGGATCTGCTCAGGCTGCACCACCTTTTCACTCGTCACCCCAATTTCATCTAAAGGACAAGGCAGAGGCCTGATGGGTCAGACTAAGGTGCCATCCTTGATTCCCTGACCTGGGACTAAGTGCCACTGAACACATAGGCAGACCCCTACTCCATAAACCTGCCAAACATTTCCTACTTATTTAATGAGCTACATAGCAGTAACCAATGTACAAAGTACCAAAAAGTAAACTTTCACATGGAAAAGCTCCTTGCACCAAGCAGGTGCTGAAGACAATACAATGAACCCACAATCACAGGACTGCCTGATTCTGCCTGCCTGATCCCCAGAGGCAGGAGTACCAGGGAAAGGCTCCTCCCCACATGGACTCTAGGTGGGCCACAGCTCCATGTGGAACTACCAGAGGCATGCTGCCTGAGGACCATGATGATCCAGCCAGTCTGTAAGGGAGAAGGTGCTCTCAGATTATCTTGGCCCCATGTTGTTTAGGGCTTTATGCATTACCTAACCTTTCAACTGGCCTAGCAGCAACTAGGTGAGCATTTTGCACTCCAGTTCTGAAGTTCTTCACACTTGTACCACTGCACCTGAGCTATCCCCATCGATAGCCTGGGGGCCATAGCTTGAAAACCAGCCAAAACTGATAAAAGGGCTTTGTGATTGCCATGCTGTGCATAACTAACCATGTTGTGAATAGCCAGTCACCACGACACAACTCTGCACCATGTGATATTTTCTTTAACAAGCCCACCAATCGAGGAAGGTTTAGGATGTCTGCATTCAGTCCCTTGATTCCAGGAGCTGCATTTTCCCACACCTTTTTCAGTGCTGTGGTAACTTTTCTGAGGTGGGACAACCAGAACTGCAGACAGTATCCAAAGTGCATCACTCATTTATTATAGGCATAACCACCTTGTACAAAGTTACTGGACTGCAGGACCCATTGACTTTAGTCAGCAAAGGCAACAGCAGGGGGTGATGGGAGTTGCAATCCAACAATATCTCAGGGATGATACAAGCTACCCACTCTGATTAGATGTCCTATCATACAGAATGGCTGGGTTCACGCATCATGACAAGCGGATCGGTGCAATTTCCACTGTTCGTGCCTGAGTGTGTGTGTGTGTCTGAAATACAATCAGCTTCAGTTCTCCTCCTGTGGTCTGTTTTCTTCCCTATCAGTCCTGCAGGTGGCATTCCAGGAGGCACCTCAGGAAGGAACAAAGCTCCTTGCTTGGACAGCCACAGTCACACCCCAACCAAGGTTAGCTCATTGCAGGCTCTGATGCACAAAGAAGGTTTGTGCCCTAAAGCATGGCAGGAAGGACAAGAGGCAGGTCAGGCACCCTCCCCTCCTGCTCTAGGGGGGACTGCTCAAGTGAGGGTGATCATTCCATGCTCACATAAGAGGGAAGGACAAATTGGTGGGTATCACTGCAGAAAGGAGCTGCACCCCCTTCACAAGGGTCTGAACAAAGCATGAACAGCAAGGTGAGAAGCAGCTGGGAGACAGCAAGAGCGGTGCACCCCTGTGCCTTGCCGGGGGGACATCCTCAATTGGCCCCCAACTAAGGGGTGGCATAGAGGGAATATACTGCAGCACAGACCCCAGCCAGGTGGCATTGCCACCACCCAGCTGCTTCTCACTCTGCTGCTCACACACGAGGGGCAGCACTGGGGGAGGCACCACCTCCAACTGGGCACCGCCACTCACTGGATCCTTGCCACTCCTGCTTGTGCAGGAACAGGGACAGTGGCATCAACTGCGGGCACTGCTCTTCTCCCACCACCAAACCAGTTGATTGCCCAGAAGATCTTTACAACAGGAGGTGGGGAGGGAAGTGGCCCCTCTGACAGTGGTGCCACATGGCAGCTGCCAGTGGTGCTCCCCAGTTAGCAATTCTCTGGTTTTGGCCTTGCTACCATGGTGAGCTGTGCTTTCTGGTTCAGACAATGCAACAAGCCATTGTGGTATCAAGAAACTACAGAACAAACCATTACTTCTGTACATGTTTTCTCAAAACTGAATATACCACATGGAAATACACCAGACCAAGAAAGATAAAAAGCCACCATCATGTTTTGTGTTGTGTGCACCCACCCAATCACATTCTTATTAAGACCCAAGCAACTCCCTGCACATCTCACCCGCTGTCCCAGACGAGAGGTGAAGTTGTGGAAGATCAGGTGAGGGTGGGCCTCTGACACAGTGCCGATGTCTGGGATGTCGTGGCGCATGACCACACTGCACAGTGTGAAGTAGGCGGTGGGGCCAAAGGGCAAATGGCTGATGATGAGCCCATCTACATGACAGAGGACCGGTGGAGAGGTTAGCTGGGCCCAAGCCTCATGGCCGCCCGAATGAGACTGCCACCACCCACACAAGAGGCCACATCCTGCAGTAAGAGCTCAGCATGCTGCTGCCCAGGAAGGCTCTTCTACCATGGAGTGGGCCACGTGTGGCTCTCCAGGTGTTTTGGCATAGAACTCCCATCAGCCCAAGGCAGCATAGGCTATGGTGAGGCAGGTGATGATGATGCTGATAGAAAGGCTGGGCTGTGGCCCAAGTCACCCAGTGGGCTCCATGGCTGAGTGGGGACTTGAACCTAGTTCTCCTGGATCCCCAGTCCAACCCTCTCACCATCACACCACACTGGCTCTCAGTTGTAGGTCAAAACATGGAGAGAACCATAACTCCCATCAGCCCTAGCCAGCATAAGCAATGATGAGGGATTAAGGGAGTTGTAGGCCAAAGCATCTGGAGGCAGCTCCATCCCAGCCCAAGGCCCCCAGTGGCCCGCCAGATGCAGAGCAGACTCCTCACCCTTCCAGTTCAAAATTGTTTGCTCTGCACTGGCTGGCCGGGGCGGTCCAGGGTTTCGGAACAGGGGCTCTTTCAGCCCCACTTGGATCAAGCATGGGATACCTGGCATATCAACTGCACTCTCTCCCACTGAACTGCAGCTGCTTTCCCACAACTCAACTCAGACTCTAGGAAGCCCCCACTGGAAGCCCAGCAACCAGCTCCCCATTCCCTGTCCAGGTGAGCCAAGCTGCACCGCATGAAGTCAATATTCTCCCAGGCTGCAAGTCAGATACAACAGGCCACACTTGCCGTGTTCATTCTCACCAGTGCTGTTTCGATACCCTCAAAAAACAAATGGTGGCTGTCACATCTACCCCATTCATTGCCCTGGCCGAGGCACTCACCCGGTGTCCCTCTGTGTTCATGCACCACCAGCAGGTCGGTGATGCCATTGGCTTTGCAGGCACGCACCAGGGCGCCCACCTCATGCCGGCCTCGGTTCATGCGCTGGGCCCCAGGGAAAATCAGCTTGATCTCCTAAATAGGAAGCACATGGCAGAGAGATCAGGAAGTGGGTGATGCAGACTCAGATTCAAGGTCCTGGGTAGCCTATTTGAAAGGAACAAATAAAATAACAAAACAAAACAAACACAGCATCCAGTAATGGGAAAGGCTGCTTGAGTGGGACCCATCCTGACCCAGGAAGGCCCATTAGCTGAACTGGGAAAGCAAAATCAGGGGTACATTCAGGGCCTCCTACAGGCCAAGCAGGATCCCAAGCCCCAAACTACTGAGCAAATGCAACAGCACCAACTTGCCCCATCCTACAAGATGCCCCCCACCTTCCCTGCTGCTGACTTACTTTGGCAAACATCTTGAGACGGGAGCTGGGGTCCCGGGAGGTGGTGACCATGATGCGAGGGTCCTCCACACCAGCCCAGCGGTACTCATCATCCATGTGGCTTGTCACCCCTGCCAGGGTGACACAAGAGTCAGGCGCTCCCAACGAACAGACAGAGGCACGCCTGTTTGGCACATGCAGCAGCGGCTTCCATCAGAGTGGAAACCACATTTAGCTTAGGAAGAACTACCTTTATTTAGTTTTTGAAGAAAGCAAAACAAGGTGCTAGAGCTCAATGTTTCACTGAAACATAAAGCCTGGAGCAGGTATGCAATAGCTGGGAAAGGATTGGCTGTCGGGCAAGAGTCGGACAACTCAAGGATGCTCAACCTTCCAGAATTTCTCCAAATGCCAGAGCTTGGTTTGCCTCACTCTTGCCCTTGCTTGCCTTTATTTTAGGTGCATGCATTTCTCCCATGTAAGAATGAACACTTGAGTGAGAATGTCCATGTTCTTCCCAAAATATGCATTTCTTGAATGCAACTAGCAAGCTCAAGAAGAGGAACCCTTTTCAGAAAGTGAGCTCCTTTTCAGGGCTAAAAAGGAGGCAGGTTCTGATGATCCGCGAACTGATATGAAATTCTTGAGCATCCCTCATGAATGAAGAGAGCATGCTGCCCTCTTTGTACAACTCACTTCCCAAGAGCAAGCCCTAGCATGGAAAAACCATTCTGGAGGAACATGCCAACAGAAATCCAGCTCCAGAAATGGAGCTCACCAGCTGCAGCAGGTGAGGGTTTGGAGACAAGCTGCACTAAGGACATTTTCCCCAACCTGGCACTTTCCAGAAGTATTGCACTACAACTCCCAGCATTCTTCAGCCAGCAGGGTGTGTGCTTCCGTGAGCCATCAAGAACATTAAAAACATCAGAGGAGCCCTTCTGGATTAGCCCGGGGGTTCATCCAGCCCAGCATCCTGTTCACGCAGGGGCCAAGCAGCTGCCTGCATGATCCCACAAGGAGGACAGGAGTGCAACAGTTCCCTCCTGCCCATGTTCCCCAGCAACTAGTAAACCTAAGCATTTTGCTTGTAATCTGGAAACAGGATAGAGCCCTCAGGACTAGTGGCTATGGATGGCCTTCTCCTCCATGAATTTGCCCAGGCCCCTTTTGAAGCTGGGGCTTATGAAAGATCAATTCCATAGTTTAGCTCTTTACCTTCTGCACCCTCATCATCAAATTCAATTGCCTTCTGGAGTGCAAGAGCCTCTTTCCGCAATTCTGTGGGGATCAGGCAGTTCTCTGGAAAGAGAGAGCAAAGAGGACTTAGGAAAACTGAGACAAATTCAGGGAAAGCACCGCTCCCCCACCAGGTTGCAGGCTTGCCCATCATTCCTTGAGTTTTTCACTGTGCTTTCAATGTATATGTTTTGATCAAAAATGCTGTAATCCTGGTCGAACTTCTGTTGGGCAATATATTTCTGTGGAAAGGTGGGACATAAATCAAATAAATACATTTCTAAAAATAATGATTGACTTGGGAAGCATATTGTAGGGAAAAGCTCTTTCAGTGAAAGAGGCACTTAGGTATCAGCATCATCTGTGACCAACCTTTCCTCCAGAGGGCTAGTGATTCTCCTGCTTAGTATATCCTCACAACAGCCCTGTGAGGCAAGCCAGGCTGAGAGGTGATGGACACCCAGGGAACTACAGGGTATGCTAACCCACGTCACCCCAATCCTTGTCCATGATTTGTGAGTACAAAGACCAAGGAGATGCAGGTTCAAATACCTGCTAAGCCATGGAGCTCCTCCAACAACCCTGGGCCAGTCACTCCCTCTTGGCTAACCTACCTCAAAAGGTAGGAAGCCAGAGGTATGTGTGTGGGAGACAGAAGAAGCTTATAGGCCACCTCTTAGGAGGAAAGACAGGATACAGATGGAATCAACAAACCATCAGTGCACCCTAGTCTGCTACTGCACAACCCAACACAACTCTACTCAATGTCAGTCCCACTGAGCTCTGTGGTACTTGCTCTCAAGTGAACAGGTACAAGAATGCAGACTTAAGGCACAATCCTATCTCATTGGCCTTTGATGCAATTTCCACCACCCCTCACCTCACACCCTGTATTTCATCTAGACAATCATTTTCAGTCATCTAATGAGGTGCCAGGGAGTGGGAGGGAAGGAAGCTGGACACGGTTTGGAGATTGCATAGGCTGTCAGTTCCAGCCTCCTCCCCTCCTTGTCCCCAGCATGCCCTTTTAGCCTCTTCAAGGTCAACTTCCAACTTCGAAGATGCAAGTGAGGGGAGTGGGGCAGGGACTCTACACTTGAGAGACCCTGCTCTGTGGTTGGAGGACCTTGGAGTTGGACTCCCAGTAATCCCATACTCCCCCGCAGAGAATATAATGAGTCCACAGGATTGTGCTTTTCATGACATGTAGCATTTATACAATGCAGCACAGGTGTTCTATGTCTTTGCAGAGATTACACCTGTAACTCTTGCAACAAACCTAGAAGGTAGCATGGCATCCCCTATTGCAGATGGAGAACTGAGGTTGAAATAATTATGGCTTGCCTAAAGCTGTATAATAAGCTTTCTGCCAAGGTAGGATTTGAACTAAGAACTCCTGACCTATCAGCTTACACCATGTGGCCAATACTGAACTATGGACCATTTGACAGTAGTTTTTGCCATTCTTTCAAAACTTTATGTGATCAGCAGTTGATGATCTAAGGGGTTGCTACTCAGATCCTTACACACTGTATTTTAGTTTTATTTAGTCAGTTTTATTTTTAACCACTGCAAAACTCACTATGAAGTGGAATATTAATTTGGAGCAAAAACACACTAAAATAGGCAGCCAAGAGCACAATATAGTACAAAGCTGGGATGCCTGCCCCATATGAAAATCTGAGAAGATGGGGCAGAGGATTTTTTTCCTACTGCAAACAGTCTGCCAAGCAGCAAACTATTTAAGGCCTATGTATCTTAAAGCAGAAGAGAGGAGACAGCTTTTTTGGTTTTGTTTTTTTGATCTGACTTTGTAGTTTATGAATTGGGAAAGGATGTGCCAGAGAAAGGCAAATGAAATGGAAACTACTCGTCCATCCAGAAAAAGCTCTATATGAGAGGGGAAAGGAGTAACAGGAACAAAGGAAAAAGTGCTAGTAAGTGGGAAAGGGTTCTCATAGAGCAATCCTGCACACATTTAGACATTATGAATTTGGGAATTATATGACTTCAATGTAAGTCATATAACTCCCAATGCTAGGATTTACATAGAAGTTGCATTGCGTTTTTTATCAATGCACGCCTAGGACAGTGGCCTTATTTCCTTCCATTAGCTATCCAGACAAATTCCATATGACTTAAATTGCAAACCCTTTGGGACTAGAGGTAGGGAAAACCTGAATGAAATTACATTAAAGCATTAATGCCCATAGCATAAGGTAGAGTATATATCAAACATGTCATGTGGCTGCCATAGGCTGGTTTGAACGAGCATGCTTGTTTTCCAAAAAGTAAAATAAAGCAAGTTACAGCCTTCTAAGTGCTAAAGCTGGAAGAAGTATGGGGAGGTGATTTCTTGCAATGGGGGCAGGTAGTTCACAAAAGCGAAATGGTCTCAATCTTCAGCCCCCCCCCAAAAAAAGGGTTTCTCCTCTGCATGCACACACACAAATTCTGCACAAATGCATACCATCTAGTGCTTTCTTGATTTTTTCCTTCTTCTCCTGGACAGCCCGAAGCTTTTCCTCTTGGGCTTTATGGTAGAGATATTCCCGCCGTTGACGGGCTTCCCGGCGCAACTGAGGGAATAGAATGGCATAAACTGAAGCACAGAACACACCTCCTTTCTCTTTTCCCAGATCAAGGATGCTTTTGCAGCAGGAGAAAAGCTAATTACTCCCCAAAGGATCTGTTAATGCTCTTGGAAACATGCCTCTTGATGCAGGATGCATAGGGACACTTGACACAAACCAGTGCAGACAAAGGCTGTAATCCTATGCCCAGGTTTCACTGAAATCAAGGGATGTACTTTTGTGTAGATGTGTGAAAATATCACAGTATCACAAAAGTTCATTATTTCAAATACTGAGCCTTAGAGTGGGACCATCCTGGTTTAGGTCTGAATCCCAGAAGGCAAATGACACCCAGCAAAGCAATCCCTCTAGAAATGGTCACAATAAATTTCTTAGTCATTATGAGCACAATCATGCATGCTCAGACTAAAAAATGCCCTACCACTTCTATGCGTGCACACAACATGGTCTTGGTGAATACAGCTAGCCCTCTGGATTTAGTCTTTTCAAGGGCTCACAGATAAATCCACACAGTTTACTCCAATTTTAGAAATATAATTACCCCATGGGGTATATCCAATGTGAGACCTACTCAAGAGTGTGCTCACTGAAATGAAGGCAACCTACATTAGCCAAACGCTGGATACAGCCTCAGGTTACTAACTACTGCTGTTCATTAAGATTATTGATTCAAAGTAACAGCAACTAATCTTTATTATATGTATTATGTTTCTACCCCGACTTTTTTTCTGAAAGGAACCCAAGGAATTCAGACCCTCCTTTCGTGATGTTATCCTCATTACATCCTTGTGAGATAGGTCAGGCCAAGAGTCTGTGACTGTAAATTTCATCGCCAAGCGGGGACTAAACCCGGATCTCTTGAGTCCCAGTCCAACAGCGTAAGCACTACGAACATCCTCTCAAACAAACACCATAGTAACAATCCAGCACCCATTTCTTGAGAGTAAGGTCTGTTGGATGCAGTGGGACTTGCTTCTGAGTTAAGTCGCGTAGGACCGCAGTCTAAGTTACTTTGAACACATCTGCTCTTCTCGCTCACACCACCCACAAGAACAGTCCGTTACCACCTTTCCAAAAAGCAAAAGCTCTTCAAAAATACCACTACGCAAGAATTAACTGCTCCTTACCATGATGACCAGCAAACCATTCAAGAGCCGACCACGTGGAATTAAACTTCCTTCCGTGATACAAAAAAAAAAAGGGCAGGCAGATTGCCCAAAAGAAAGATGGCGCAACGAAACGGCGGTACAGTAGGAGGACGGCAGAAGGGTCCAGCGACAATGATGGCGACCTAAGAGATTGCGCAATAAGGCGAGACGCAAAAGGATGTATCAGTTTTAATGGTTGGCTCTCGAGTAAAACTTCCGGTTCCCAAATGCAACGGAACCTTCCATGTGCGGAGCAAAAGCGGTGGAAATACAAGTGACCTCAAATCAAATACTGAAGTTTAATTTCTGTGATCCCTGCTTCTTCTTCCAAAAGCCCGGTGGAGTCTATGTCACTGGGGCTTTCCCCATTGCAGTTTTACTATTGCAGCTTTTATTCTGTGTCTTATAGGAGGCTATACAGTTAGCCTCGAATGGCTGTCCATAGAGATAAGAAAGAAAGAGGGAAAGAAAGAGGGAAAGAAAGAGGGAAAACATTAGAGTTGTGGCGGCAATTACCCGAAGACCTGCATCACACCCCACTCGAAGTCGATAGGTGAATACTGAAAACTCTGTGATTTGATTGGTTGTTGAGAAGGAGCAGGCGGAGTCCTACTTCAGGGTCAGGTGAACAGGAAACGAGGCAGATTTGGTGCTGCAGAAAAGGCATAGGAGTTTGGAATTGGATCTGGGGACGTATTTGCGGGTGGGGACGGGGACGGGGACACTTTGGAGAAGACGAAGAAGTAGCCTACCTTCATTCGCTGCTGACCAGCACAACGAACTTCCTCAATTGTGTTTGCATAGCAAGGTACAATTTTGTTTCCTTCCCATTTGCTAGCTGCAGAAAGATGTCCTTTCCCATCTATTTTAAAGGAGAATGTCAACATCAGCTTCATTAGTACTGCCTAAACAGTCAAAGAGGCTTGAGCAAGCTCTTGAGCTCCTCAAAGCTCTCATTTGGTCTTCTGAATCCTGCGCGGGGTCAGGCTAGCTGAGCATGGTCTTTCTGCACAGTAGCCAGCCAGGTGGTCTGAACAGAAACCCTTGGAAGGGCACGAGGGTGAAACTCTGCCAGCAGCTGGTATTCAGGACCCAAATGTGCCCTCATCGAGAAATGTCAAATCTGGTCATGGCAATAGAGGCCTTAGTTGCCAGTCTTCTTTGATCAGCTCTGACTGGCCTTTGAAGAGTGTTCAGAAAGTTCAGCTTGCCCAGAGTGTTGCAGCCAGGCCATTAGGAGCTAGAAGAAGCATGCAACTCCCATCTTACAACACTCTCTGTGCTGGTTTGGTTTCTGACCATAACTCTGGTTCTGACCCACAAAGCTCTACTCGATGGAGTAGTTTATGTAACAGACCCCCTTGTTCCAGTGGATCCTGCCTGGGCTTAGAGAGAGCGTCTTTCTGTTCTGACCAATATCTGAAGCACATTTGTCAGGAACTGGAGAGAGGGCCATCTTGGTGGCTACTCTCAGGTTGTGATATTCCTTGCCAAGGAAGCCCATCTCAACCCTTCTCTGATGACTTTCCCCCAAAAGGCAAAGAGTTTTATTCAGACTGACCTGTGACCTTTAAGCCACTTGTCAGTATAGTAAATATGTTGCACTTCTTTTTAACCAGGTTTTTTTTAATGTTCCCCTTTCTTGTTCTTATGCTTTTAAATTTGAATTGTATCTTATTAAGCTGCATTCGTGCTGCTGCTGAATGAAGGGGCAGAACATAACTTTAATAAATGCATAAACAAGTACTGCTTCACAACATTGAGGTCCATTTTAGGTATTGTAGCTACTCAAAGACGGGCTTACATTCTAGATTTAGACATATCAAGAGGACAAAAGTGAGAAGGAAAGAGAGGAACATTTGGGAACAAATGCAGTTACATGCGTTTCATTTCAGATGGCTCCAGCAGGGGACACGAGAACAGCAAAAGTGTGTGAAGAGTTGGACCAGCTCATCCTCCACTTTTTTGACACTCTGGAGATGCTCCAGGCCAAGAGAGAAGCTTTGAACAACCTGGTAGAGCAGGTGAGACTTTGGTTCATGGAAGCTGAGTAAAAAATAACATTCTGCCCACTGATTGGATCTCTTCCCCCAACTTCCCCAGCTGCTGCTGGGTGTCACTATGTGAGTTTTAGTTACTGGGCAGTATAGAAAGGTAATAAATGAAAATGAAGTGCCTGCTGCCCCTTCTGGATCTTGCAGAGAAATTCTGATAATGCTGTTATGCCAGATCCTTCTTAAATAGAGTATCCTTCACACAAGGGTGGGTAACTCATGGCTAAGATGTTGCCAGACTACATCTCCCCTCAGCCCTAACCAGCATAGCCAACAGTGAAGGCAGAGGAGCCTTGTGGTCCAAATACATCCAAGGACCACCTCATGTTCTCACATCCATTTTTTGGTTTTATTTCCCCTTTCCAGGGTTGGTTCTCCCTCTCCAAGTCCCGTTATGCCATGGGCAACAAGTCTGTCTCTACCCTGCAATATGGGCATCAGATGACTCCACTGGTTCAGGTGCAAACTAGGTGAGATGGTGCAGTGTCAGCATGTGTGGGTGCTGGATGCAAGTATAGAAATCCCAGAGAAGAACTTGCAGCCGAGGAGAGGAGTTAGGCAGCTGGCATGCCTACAAGGGGCTGATGATTTCCAGCTTCATCTTTTGTTTTCCCTCCCTTGCTAAACAGTTCTCTGGGGTAAGCTGGGTAAAGGAGCTTGCTGGAATCACTTTCCTAAATTAATCATAATCAGCAGGTGCCAAATGAAGAAAACATTCTTAAAGGTTACTGTAACAATTTGTTACTGGACTGTGTTCTTTTAAGGTTAAAGGAGGGGGATGAGTGAGTGAGATGATTGGTTTTATTTATTTATTATATTTATTAAAACATTTCTGTGGTTGGTGACTGAATGTGTGTGGGTGGAACTTGGAAGCTGCAAAGAGAGAGCAATCAATATTTTTCAGTCAGCAGTTAAAAGTCAAGAGTTGTAGTTTGTCAGAAGTCTAGGGAGTCTGAAGAGGCAGCCTCCTCATTAGACTCTCATAGAGTGCAGTAAAAAGGACTTAAGAGTCTAAAGAAGGAAGTAGAATACTTGGAGGACAGATTAGTGACTAGGAATAGTTAGAACCTCATATTGGAAAGTATTAGACGGGTGTGTGAGATAGAAGCTGACAGAAACCTGAGAGCAGAAGGGAAAGATTGAACTGAGAGAAATAAAAAAAGGACTGGTGAAATTTACTTTCACGTTTAAAAGGAAGATTTGAAAGTGAGGAGTAATTGAGAAGGGAAAGAGTGGGATAACTCCATCAAAAGTTATTATGCACTGCTTTATTTACTAAGACAATAAATTATAGAGCATCTTAAAACCAATATGCTTCTTGTACAAATAAAGCTTTATTTTGTTAACTCAGCATCATAGCCTGTTTGAGTATCAGCGTCTCATCCTCAGGACTGCATAGTCCAACAAAGGAGCTTGAGCACAATACTATGAGAGAAGTGAATTAATATGACTGGAATTAAATTCCTGGTGGCAGCATTACACCAGAAAGAGAAAGAGAGGGAAATATCAAAGAGTGTTAAAGACAGACCATGTTCAAACAAGGAAAAGAGAGTACTTATGACAGTTATGTTAAACAGAAATTTACAATGGCTGATACTTTGGTGGTGCTTTTTATTTCTCTTCTACTACCTGCATTGTGTAATTGCTCCTTATCTGGCACTGGTAATTCTGGGAGTGGGTGTCTCAAGCTGTCCTGCAGGTAGTGAAAAAGTTGGATGTCTCCACTAAAAGGTCTAGATAGTGAGCTCAGGAACTGCAGACCATCAAAAGATGCCTCCTCCTTTGCTAGGTAGCTTTGCTGCTAGAGGCACTGCCAGTAGGACTGAGCTCTTTTAATTTTTAAGATCCATTACCAGAAAGCTACTGCAGTGCAGTGTTTAGAGTGCTGGATTAAGAGTGGGCTGACCTTGAACCAATCCTGGCCTACATCACATGGTTGTTGTGAAAATAATATGGAGAGGAGAAAGATGTGATGTACACCATCCATCCAGAGCTCCTTGAAGGAAGAGTGAGATAAAACTGTAATGAAAATAGCCATAGAAATATTTGTTGTCCTGTTGTTTACAGCATGAGAATTGCCATGCTGTGTATCCATCCTTGCATCAGCCATTTCTTTGTTCTATCTAGTGAGAGAGAGGAGTGTCAGGTAGAGTTTCATATCATCCCAGAAGATGCTGCCAAACAAGGGGCTGAAGGGACAGCCATTGTAGAAGAAATTGGCCCCAATGAACAAGGTAAAGAAGGCTTTTGGGATCAGACAAACTGTACAAGTTTTGGGCAGCAGGATACTAAAGATGTGGATTGTTTTTGCCCCTGCTTAAAGTATTTCTTGGTCACCTTTCAGGACAGCTGTTAATGGGGCCCTGTGATCAGTAGGGGAGTTTCTATGCACTTAGAAGCCATGCGGCACTGAGAAGTTCAGAGTTTCAGGAGGACCATATATTTCCTCCTGCAAGGTGATTATTTAAAAAGAGAAGACAAATCTTTGTTGATAATTGTAATGGAAAATATAAGCAAAGATGTACCCATTTTGGAAATCTGGGGTTGTAGCCAACATTAGTCCTACTTAGAGCAGAAATGCTGAAGTGAATGGGATTTATGTTAGTAACAGAGGCTACAACCTCAAGTTTTTGCCATAATTTAGAATCAGAGCAGACCAGTTGGTGTGCATCAGATATTTTGATCTTCACTCTGCATGATCCTTGACTACTGTCCATTTTGGCTGAAGTTGATGGGAATGGTAGTCCAAAACATCTGGTGGGCACAAGGTTGCCTACCCTTAACATAGTTCCCACAGACCAGGAGGCATTACAATCCTAGGATCAATCAAGAAATGACACTCACGTGAATGAATGTGCTTCAAAAATCCTCATGAAAATATCACAGTTGTTACAATTGCAAAGTGGAAATTGCAGGAAAAAAATTAAAAAGCAAAAACAATGAGAATGTATCAACAAATAGAAGTGGTATAAAAGTACAGGAGTTTTAGGGATTTGTCTTGGCACCAAGCCTCTCCTCTGCCTTGGGTCTCCAAGACAGGAAAACAAACCTCCCCTGAATTTCTGGAAAGATATCTCTATTTCATTCATGTTCAAGCCTATACCTTGCTGTGTATATATAGAGGTGGAATTTTAAAATTCCAACTAGGTGGAATTTTAAGATATCAAAGGGCTGTGTCTCTGTTCCTTAAGTTCTGCTCTATTAAAGGCGTTATGATTATGTTTCCAGCTCTACGACGGCGGAAGGGACCAGGAAAAATGGAAGACCTGGCCCAAACCCAGAATGCAGCCACCCAACCTGCAGAGGGATTAGGGCACCGAGACCCCCTGAACTGGTTTGGAATTCTCGTGCCCCAAAGTCTCCGACAAGCCCAAAAGACTTTCCGAGAAGGTAAGGAAAAAGGCAGCTATTACCATCAAACTTGATGCAATTAGATCTTTTTTCCATCCTGGCTCTATCCCAAAGAGCTGAGAAAACACTACTAACACACAGCCCTCATTTCTGTGCCATGTTTAAAAGCAGGGCCATGGCCTTGATTGATATAGGCAAGCCCTGTTCAGCTCTCTTTGGTCTCTGCCGCTAATGGAAACCAGGGGTGCAGAGCCTCTGGCCCAGAGACTGAATCTGGCCCACCTTAGGTCTCAGTCTGGCCTCCAGGGGTCCCCAAGGGCTTATACCCCTTTTCCCAACTACTGATCTTCTAAATGTGTAGTGGCTTTGGGGCATTTTCTCCCCTGAGTCTAAAAGGTAAAAATGTTTCCTTTATGACAGTCTTGGCAGTAAGAGTTCTGAACTAAAAGTACTTTTGGCCCTGCCCCTTTTTCCCTTCAACCTTGTCTTTCACTCGAATGCAGCCCCAGAAAACTTTTCAGAAATGGAATCTGGCCTTCAATCTGACAGAAGTTCCACACACCTGCTGTGTGCTTCTGTACCCACTTGAAGGGCTGGGACCTCTTGCTCCATTCCTTTCATGAGCATGTGAATATGATGCTACCAGACAGGCAGGGTGAAAGATGGCCTGTTACTTGGAGTCTTTCGATTTAGCCAGCAGCCCATAGATTGACGAAAACAGGTTGTCTTCCATTGTGTACCCTTTTACCTAGCCTATTAATAACCCTCCTTTCCTGCTTTCTCTTCTAGGAATCCACTTGGCTGCAGAAATTGCCTCATTACAGAGTAAAATTGAGGCCGCTCAGAGAAGTTACCATGCATTGCTGAGAAGAAAACATGACCTTGTTGCCAAAAAGGACCTGGGCCACTCTTGACCAGCTCTAACAGTTTCACTGCTGAAATGTGGGGACTTCTATATTTATTAGAACTTATCCCTGAAAAACTTCCAGTCGTTCCATGCTTAAATACTTATCTGCATATAACATTCTGATGAATCAATAAAGGGCTTGTGTTTCATTATGCTTCTCTGTTACTGGAATTGTGTGTGTTGAAATACAACATACTTGGAAAGCCTGGTCCAGTGTCTGCAATTTCATTCTGCCTTTTTCCCAATTCTTAGAGGCAAGTTATGTTAGTCCCAGTTTTTGTTTTTGTGTCTCTTTTTGCACACATACATGCAATATGTCTTTTGAAGCATGCAAAACTAATGCAAACAGGGTTGATTATTCCACTAACATTGATCAGTTCTTTTGCACTAAGATTATAGTAACTGGAGTGAAACTCAGTTGGGGTATATTTGCATTTTTTAAAGAGGGGGAAGCTAATACCTTTTGCAGGCTGCTGAAATTGAGTAGGCTAGAAATGTAACAATTACAGTTGGAGGTGTAATTTATTGATTTATTATATTCACATCCCAACTTTTACCTACAAGAAATCCAAAATGGTGTGCAAGGTTCTGCTCCTTTCCATTTTATCCTCACAACTCTGTGAGGTAGACAAGGCTGAGCATTAGGCTAATTACACTCTTTTCTTTCTCCTCCTTTGTACTTATTTATCCTGCTAGAAGCCAGCCTAAACTAAAATAAGTTGCATCTTCTCTAGAAAGGATTCACATGATGCCTTGCTGCTCCAGCCTCTCTCATCATGAGGGCACATCCTAAACATGTTTACAATGGAAAATTTCCTAGAACTTTCTGTATTTCCTGGCCAGTATTCCTCAGAGTTGTAGTATTTCTTTCTGTCTAAACATGCAAGGATTGCACCCTTCAAGCATTTATATGTGCAAAAGCTTATAAATGTTCAAGTTGAAAGGGAAAAAAAATCCCAAAAATGTTTGGACAAATACTTGTGAGTTTCCATATATATGGAATGTTGAGGTAATTGAGAGAAGAAAAACAGAATTGAAGAGAGCAGAAGAAGGAATAACCATAGGAATAATCCATAGCCAGTTTATTGTAAATATTCTGAAGGAAAATTGGGTTTGGGGGAATGTGCATCGTGAGTCTAAAGAGCTTCCCATTATCTTACTAATGGGGTTATTTCAAGGCACCTGTTACTTTTGTATTCTCTCCTTGAGGCCAGGAGCCATTTATTCTAAACATCGTTTCAACTGCACCAGAATCCAGTGCAGCTCCTTCTTCCACAGTATGGGAACACCTCCAAACATTCTATAAGGCACAACAATAAAAACATTAAAGTTCATATGAATGTAGCTTCCACTGCACTTTTTTTTACAATTGCACAAAAATTGTCCTTTAGAATAGACTATCCTCCATGTTTTCCAGCAGAAGTGAATTCCATAGTTTAAGTATGTGTTGCATGAAGGACTTAATTTTGTCTGTCCTGAATCTCCTACCAAACAGCTCCATGGGGTAACTCATTTGGATTTTGCTGGGAAAGTGGGAGGAAAATGTCTCCTTGCCACTTTCTCCACATCCTGCATCATTTGGTACCCCTCTGTCGTGCCTCCCCTCTGTCATGTCTTTTTTCTAAGCTAACAGCTCCAGAGGTTGCACCTCTACAGACCTGTGGGCGCATGGAAAGTGGACTTTGATGGTATCACACTCTGCCTTTTGCCCAGTTGTGTCTGCTGTACTCTGACCAGCAGGTGCTCTTCAAATTCTCAGGCAGGGATCTTTTGCATCATGCCTACTACATTTAGTAAAAGATGGGAAGGCCTCAGAGCAAAGAAAAGAAACAAAAATGTGATCTTCCCCTGCCCTGGCCCATCCGCCCTTTCTTTGAAGGTTTGGCATTCATGGTAAAATGTTACAGGTCCCACTTGTATGGCTTTCTTTAAAAAGCAAAGCATAGCACTTGGAAGTGACAGCCTAGTCTTTTCCCAGTTGCTTGCTGAATGTTTACTTTAGGCAGATACATGCTTGATTCTGTGTGTATGCAGTACCTTTTGCACGGGATGAAGCTTTCACTCATTTAACATGAAGTTGGGTGCATAAGGCAGAGGGAATTCACTCTGTCTACCATCAAGGCAAAAACTGTTAGAAATCAGAGCAGAGAGCAACAGAGAGATGTTTTTATCCCTTTTGACAAGTTCACTGATTTCAGAAGGTTACCACCCAGCCAGAATCTCATTAGCAAGACCAAAAATAGGTTGCCTTGCCCCGCTTTCAAAAACAGAGGATGCAAAACCAAAAGCAAACAGACTGGAAGCCCAGTCCTTGGTGCCCATCCTGTTGAGCTAGGTTGTTGGTGTAATGCCTTGCAAGTTGTACACTAAGACCAAAGGGGCGGATGGGCATGGCAACTTCTTTGTAATCCATTGCCAGTGTGACAAACTTCAGGGTTGTGGGATCTACTTTGTTTTTATTTTTGTTTCAAATGAGAAACCAGAATCCATCGACTAAACCAGAGGCTGGTAACTTTTATGTCAGTGGGGCTTCTTCTTCATTGTATATTTTATTCTGAGCCTTATAGGAGTTAACCATGATGCTCCACAGTGGTGAATCTGGGGGATGCATAAGCCTCCCTTGCAACCAAAGCCTGCTGCAAAAGACATACACTTAGAATTAAATAATTATCAGTCTAGGGATTAATTCTGAGTGCCTGAAATAACTACACCTCATTGACTTTCCACACAAGAAGCCAAGCTCATTTCACTAATAGCCTCTAGAATTAGGGGTGGAGATCACAACTGGGAATCAAAAATCCTTGCTGATCTGGAAATTAACCAGAGATACTACCTGTAGATTCAGATCTACTTTCTGCCTACTCTTGGCACAGGGCATGTCTTGCCCTTTCAAGGCTGTGAGTTGTTGATGCACCGATGTTGTATCACAGCATGGAGATTCCCTCTGAAGAGAGGAGTGTTTCTCCTCACCTCCACAAGCATGTTAGAATTAAATAATTATGTGAAGACACCTTTCCTGGTGAAGAAAAAATAGTGGAATGAAATATGTAGTAGCGGTGGTCTCCTGCATCATCTCCAGTTGGAGAAAAATGTTTTGCCACATGATTGAGTCTAATTGTTTAATTCTTGTTTTCTACTGGATTTTCACAAAAAGATTAGCAAGCTGAGAAGTTACCTGGGGAAGGAGAGATTATAGAAGAGGCTCTACCCAGCCTGGTGTCTTCCAGGCATTTGGGACTACAAGTCTCATCACCCTTGACCATTGGCTACACTGGTTGGGGCTGATGGGAGTTGAAGTGCAAAACATCTGGGAGTTTGAAGTGCAAAATTGAGGAAGGCTGCTAAAGGACAAGGAAGGAAAGTTGTGAATATAATCTGGTGAATTATAATAAGTGGATATAAGAAGTGGAAGCTACCAGTGTACAAAGAATTCATGCATTTCTCAGCAGTGTCCTTGGAAAACCTGTTGCAAAAGGATTCTTTATGTGGAAAAGTTAAAAGTCTCAAGCAAGAAAGCAATACCTCTGACGAATGAATGACATTAGTACTTTCTGTCTATAAGTATCGAATGAGTAGACTCTTTTGTATCGCCTTCCCATATGGTCTAGCGGTTAGGATTCCTGGTTTTCACCCAGGCGGCCCGGGTTCGACTCCCGGTATGGGAAAAATAAATTTTTTAAATATTGCGGAATTGTTTATGATGGATCATTGAATTCTACAGAAAACAAGATAAATTACTGCTCTATTTTGCAATTGAGCCCAAGAGCAAAGCCATGGAAAATCGCAGGACTCGCCCCATGATTCCCCAGAACGGCTTCTTAGTGATCTTTTGTGTTACAAAACAAATGAAAGAGATGGGCAGAAGAAATACTCTCCTCTGTGCATTACCTAGCTGAGAAAAAGTTATGAACTGAGACGATAAAATCTCCACAAAAGGAAGGCACGTTGTGATAGCACCCAGCTGCTACTCTTGAACCCGGCAGGGCGTTAGATTTCCTGATTCAGATTTTTGTCTCTTTTTGGGTGCCTTTTTCATTTTGCTCATAGTGAGACATTTGCAGGCGCACTTCCGTGTTCATCCTCTTGGGCTGAAATCTGTCCCCTTCCTCCTTAGGATCATCGCAACAGAGGGTGGCTGGAGAAAAACTAACACCAAGGAAGCGTTTTGCCCCTCCGACGATGTCTAACGGAGAGAGCTCTTGGCTTCTCGGAGCACAAGGGTCACGCCAGGAATAAAAGTGGCCATCCCACCCCGGGACTTGAAGGCAATGGAGAGATTTCGCTGTGGGAGGTGGAAATGTTCAATGCGACTTTCGAGACTTTTAAGTTGAAAGACAGGACAGGGCAGCGATCCTTAGGGATCCTTGCAGTTCCAGGGAGCAAGTTAGAGTGGAACCCCTTTTCCGAGGCCAACTGGATTAATCGTGGACAGCCAAGAGCATGTGCGGAGTGCCTTTCTTCGCCGCCGCAGCCAGTCTAACCCCACGCGACACACACTGTGGGTTTGCAGGAGCAGAGCCTTCCGAAACCATCGACTGTGACTCCCAAATAAGCCCCGATCTCTCCTTTTAGAAAGCAAGCGCGGCCTCTGATCCTCATCTGCAAGTCTGCGGTACCCATCCGGAGAGAGCAGGAGACGTGGGGAGGCGAAATACCATTGTTTGGGGAGGGAAGGGGGAGCTTGGTGGTTGCCGCAGGACAATTGCGGAATAATTATGGAGAAGTTATATGAATGTGCAATAAACTGATAAAGACCTGTCTCGGCTTGGCTGACCTGGCTTTTGAAAATTGTAAGAGGGTTGAAGTAGGGTGGGATGGAGTCTGAAATGTCTAAATAATGTCAGAATCCATCCCTCTTTACTCCGTCCTATTATGTCTTTGATCCCAAGAGCCATGTGAAAGGTAAGAAATGCAATCCTTGTATTCCCCTATAGGTGGCAGCTTAATTTTAGATTGGGCCACAGATCGCTCAGGTCACATGGAAGCTTTCTCTTATATGGTCTAGCGGTCAGGATTCCTGGTTTTCACCCAGGCGGCCTGGGTTCGACTCCCGGTATGGGAAAGGTAAAGTTTTACTGTTTACGTCTTCTTTCCTTGGGAAATTTGCTCATGATGCCAGTGAAGTCGCTGCTAGTTTACCATTTCTTAAATTAATGCGATACCTGAAAACATAATCAAAAACGTGCTAGAGAAAAAGACCGTCAAGCAAAACAGGTCGCTACACTTGTTTTGTTTTGTTTTTTTTCTTGCACACACCGATTGGTCCTCGAAGATTCTCCTGTTTTTCAGCGAGGTAACTTAGTATAATATATTAAGATTCCAGCATCCTGCTTCGAAATAGAAGTTTGGTCCATTAGCAAGGAAATCGGCAAGTTTTATTGAAACCAAATGCGCAGGATAAAGAGCGAATGCCATGCCATGCTTCATAGCCTAACTCGGCTGCTAATTCTTTGCATGCCCCCATTCTAAGGAATCGTAGAAGTAGAAGCAGACAGGTGCACAAAATTTCTACTTTTCCCACACCGGGAGTCGAACCCGGGCCGCCTGGGTGAAAACCAGGAATCCTAACCGCTAGACCATATGGGAACCGCTGGGAGAAGAGACCCTTTCTTGCCACACATGTGACGTGCTCAATGTACCACCAAGTGATTGAAAGTGATGGTGCAGTGAAAATAATACGCACGAGTTGTGATGACACGAAGTTAGAAGGAGGCATTCTGAGATGCGTTTCCTTCTCCAGACACAAAAAGCACAAACTACCCCCGCGTACGCATCAACCTGTCACACAAATGTCCCCTTCAGACCCATAGCCAGCATACCCACCGCAGTCCGCTCCGCAACGCTTTTCTGCATACAGACTCCACCGCTCAGGCACAGAACTGCATGCTCATGTATCTGCACGGGAAGGCACGCACGCCACCATTCACACGCGCGTGCACACACTGGATTAATGTCCGATACACGGAGCTAGTGTGTGGTGTTTTGTAAGCTTGCTGTCTCCTAAAGGGGCGGAGGGGGGTGCGCGTGTGTGAGCGCGAGAGTATATTCAGTGTTCCTGTTTTCATCCTGCCATTTAGCTCAGGTGGGAAGATTCAGTGTAGCATGTAACAGAGGGTGTGGGATGTGCTTACACTCGAACACCGAGGGCTTATGCATAGCCCTTTAAGTGTTGCCATGGCAACACTAAAAGGAGGCTTCCAGGGACTGGCGGAAGTTATCTTTGTCGGGTTGGAGTTTTTCTTAGAGCTGGACCAATCCCAGCAGCAGGAGATGTTCTGCTTGTGGCAGGAAGTGATCCGAGTCTGATAGGCAAGGCACTAGGCTTATCAGAGAGGGAGGTGGGGCTCTAAGGGGGACCTGGGTCCTGATGCTGCTGCTAGGGGCACTTGGGTGAGGGTATAATGGAGGGGCTGGGAGAGTAGGATGGAAGGAAAGGTGCCGGAGACACCGACAGAGGAAGGGGAGGGCAGAAATATTGGGTGGGTCTCACGGGGTGAGGGAGAAGCAAGGACATTATCCAGGATGTTAATGGGGCAGGATGGAGTCTGGGAATGTCCAGGGATTCGGCTGGTGGGGTTGGTGACGTGATGTTAATATGAATGCTGCTAGGAACAGAAATGGATGCAGAGGAATCAGTGATGGCCACAGACAACCTTTTACTCCTTGGTCACCACTTGTAAACCTGCCACGGTACGCATGTCACCACATGGGAAGCCAGCCATGTGGTGGTGCCACTTTCCCCGCACACCCAGAATCCAGGGAAGCAGGGCCATCCATGGTAACATCCTTGTCCCTCTGTTTCTGGAAACAACAGAGAAGCCAGCAGGTTAAAAGCAGTGACACAAGACTGTATGGGGAAATATGTTGTCAGAGATGGGGTAGGACATGTCAGCTATTAAGAAAAACAAGGAGCAACAGTATGTCAGTAGGAGTAAGAGTTAAAACAAAAAGGACTAGGGCAATCTGGGGGAGAAGAGGTTGTGTTGAACTTGGAACAAGGATGGGGTGTTTGCAGAAGTACCGGAATGTGGATTTCAGGGGAAAACCAAGAATGGGTACATGCTTGGGGAAGTAGACTTGTCAAAGAGAGATGTCACTGCCTAGGAGGCTACAGTTGGGCGAAGATTTTTTTAAGGGGGGGGGTGGAATGGTGCCAGCAGCTGCAGAATAGTTGTTGGGGGCCAAGTGTCACAAGACACATGGAAGGGGAAAGGATTCAGGGATTCATCCCTCTGCACCCCTTACCCCCTCTGCTTTCCCACAGAGACAATGGGGACCATGGGGCTGGTGGCTTACAGAGGGAACTGAGCCTCTGCCCGTGAAGAGGCCTCAACGGTGTGACCCCCTCCCCCTGCCACCATCATGGAGCCCCTGAAGGAGCGGGCTGGGTGGTGCACAGGGTACCGGGGGGAGGAGGCCCTGGCTGAAAGGAGACCCTTGCTGCACGAGAAAGTTGGTCAGGTGAGTAAGGGAGAATCTCTCCCGCCCCATGTCTCCATTCTTATGACCTCCATGTTGTTTTCTTCCCATAAGTTCATGGAGCAAATATCCTGATTTGCAAGCTGTGGTGTCAAGAGGATTTTATGTTGCTCCCTGAAGATTTAAGCATTGCTTTGTGGATAAAATCCAGCCAAATGTTCTCAGGTGATCACAAGGAGAACCTGAATGTGATAACTGGAAGCTCTACTAGGCTGTACTTGTCACAAGGATCTTTCCCTCTCCTGCACCACCTGTAGATTGGCCAAGAGTAGCACCAGTTCCATTGTCCCTCCTATTGCTGGTCCTCCAGCAGCAGTATTCAAAACATAAGAATCAGCAGATCAAATGGGGGTCCACCTAGTCGTCAAATGTTCCTGGAAGATCACCAGTGGGGCTTAAAGGAGATGTGACTCCCTCTACTTAGGACCCCCTCCCCAGCCTGCAGATATATTATCTCTGAACAGGAGGTTCTTCTAGCTTGCACTGATGAGACAAACTGGACTCCTACAAGAAGGTTGCATTAGGAGATACGTAGCTCTTTAGCCAGGAGGGAGAAGCATCTTAAATCTCATTCTCTGATACATTAGCAGCCACCAGTGCATCACACTGGGAATGAGTGTTCTTGTTTCCATTCTGTGTGTTCCCCCATCCCTTTCACCTAAGAGCTCTCCATAGAAGCTAAGTCTCTTCTGTGTGGTTTCTTTCAGGATGGTGTTGAGATGGGGGTTGAACCCACAGGCTGGGGGTCAGATGACCCAGAATTAGAGGAAGAGGAGGCTGGCCCAGATCCTGTCAGGGTTCTAATGTTGCCTCTTCAGGCCCATCATGCCATGGAGAAGATGGAAGAGTTTGTTTTGAAGGTGAGTGGTGTGATTAGCTGAGTTTAAAAAACAAACTAACAAACCCTCTTCCAGGATTGTATGGAAGAGCAGACCCATTGAAATGAGTGGGACTTAAGTAAGGGTGACGTTGGACACAACCATTTGGGAAGTGGCCCCGAGAGAGGCTTAAGCCTTCCTGGCAGTCTTAACGCATGGGCCTGATGGGCACTTGCCTGTGGGCCCCATACTAATCTGTGTATGTTAACCCTTGGAAAATTGGAAAACTTCCAACATTAACAGTAGTTGTAGTTTTCGTAGGGGCCCCAGTACACTGCTTTGCCCGGGGCCCATAATGCTGTTAAGATGGCCCTGCTTCCTGGGTGGCACCCCACCCCACTTTGCTGCTTTCCTTTCCCCCTCCACTGTCAGTACTGTCCCATCTTCTCCTCCTCCTAGGATCCCAGCCAGTGCTGAAGCAAAGTGGTATGTCACAGTCATGCACAGGAAATCACATTGTGACTTCGGCTGCTGCCAGGGGTCCCGCCTTCAAGGAGGGACTGAGTCTGATAGTCTGACCAGATCTGGACAGTGAGTGAGCTGGAGGAGTGCAATAATTTGCCATGGGGAAGAGGGCCTCTCCTCTGTCATGACAACCCCACAGCAGCCAGCTCCAGGGCTTTTCCATAAAGGGGTAAGCCCAACTGGCCAAACCAGGGAGAGACCAATTGGAGGACCTGGAGATGCAGTGGCCCTACCCTCCTGACCTCCGGCCACGTGCCCTGGCAGAGCTTCCCCTAGGCCCATGCCTGGGGGAGAGCCTGAGCAGGGGGGAAGGGGAGACTCAGAGGACTAAAGATGCTGACACAGGAGCTCTGGAGGAAGAGTACTGCCAGGTTAAGGCAAGTGAGAACTAATGGAGGGTTTGGGAGTTGACAGCAAAAGCTGAGCCCAAATTTCTGCATTGCTTTTATATTTACAAGATATAAATATAATTTATATATTTTAAAATTTCAATTTCAGTTTCAACAGAAAAATACTAATAGAAATGTTATAATAATAATAATAATAATAATAATAATAATAATAATAATAATAATAATAATAATAGCTCTTTTCAAGTTTTCCCAGAGAACTTCTCTGAGATGACTTTAGCAGTCCCTACAACTACTCTGTCAGGGAGGTCAGCCTTTTTTCTTTTCTGTATGGCCAACAGTGAGCTGAGGCAGAGAAAACAGTGGCTTTCCATGGGCCATTAAGTGAGTACATAACTGAGGGATGAAGAGGAAGGGAGCTGAGAGGAGCAGAGGCATACTTGTTTGTCCATGTACAATAGAGTGGGTGATGAAGTGGCCATTAAAATGGGTGCTTATTTCCTACCTCAGGATCTGTCATGAGCAACAAATATGGCTGCCCATGGTGCCTCTAGTTTGACCCTAAGGTGAGGTTAGAACAAGGAACTGGGGCTGTTATAATCTTATTCCCACTTACTGGGCATTAAGTCCACTGAATTCAGTGGAACTAACTTCTGAGGATATTGCACTGTGACAGTCCGTGTGGCCAGAGTGTTTGATGCGGAGGAGGAAGGAATGGGTTCCAGCTCAGCCATGGAGCTCTCAAAGCGAGGAACCAGGACTAATCCACCATCTGTCAGGTTAACCTACCTCACAGGGCTGGTGTGAAGCTAAAATGAGAACAAATGCCTGCACACTGCTCTAAGATGGAAGTGCTAATGGGTCAAAGGCTGATCATTCTTTGCTACTATAGCACCAGAGCTCAGGAGCTTATTGAAGTTTACCATCAGTTTCTTGCTTTTCTACACCCAACCCTTTGTGCTGGGAAGCTCACCCCCTTTCACTCCAATGGCCGGCTTCTATTTTGAAGAATGAGAGATTGTTGAGGGGCTACAATCCAGTGGTGGGCAGGACCACACATAAAAGGGACAATGGCAAAAATGAGGCACATATTAGCTTAACAGTCTTATTACCCAGCCACTAAGCCTGAGGAAAGGCAGTTTGGCATTTTAGAAAATGCCAGGGATGAGTGGCACAAACCCAGGGAACTAGCAAGAGATTTGGAGGGAAAGTAGAGCCAGTGAAAGGAGGTGCGGACATGTGTGGGACCTCAGGTGGACCAGATTTAGGCCCTGGTCCTGAGGGTGTGTGCCACTCACTGCTTTTGTATCTCCATATCTTCCTGGGCTGGTTTATTTTCTTCTTTAAAAGCTGATGGGATGACGATTGCCTCCATTTTGATGACAAAGGCTCTCTTTGATATGAACTTTCCCTTCCCTCCATGCCAGTAAAAGTCTTACTGGCTTTTGTCTGATTTTTGCTATTCAAGGCACAGAGCCTTTGTCATAAAAACGGAGGCAGCCTTTTTGTGCAAGGCACTTCATCAAGGGCTGAGCAGGGCAGAAACTGCACAGCCCCTTCTCCCTGGCTGAGCCACTGAGCAAACAAAAATAGGGCAAGCCCTGCTTGTTCTCACAGGAACCATCCTTCACACCTTGTGTCCATGCTGGCTAGGAACTATGGGAGTTGTAGTCCAACATTCCTGGAGGGCACAGGTTAGGAGAAGCTATCTTATTCTGATCTGCAAACATGGAAAGATTAATCCTAATGCTTATGTTATTGCCTTATAGTATTTCTATGTATGTGGCTGAACAGCAGAGCAGACTGTCATTATTGTTATATTATTATATTTCTATCCTGCCTTTTCTTCAAGGAGCTTAAGGCAGCCTTCATGGTTTCTCCCTCTGCCCACTGGTTTTATCCTCACAGAAACCCTGTAAGGTAGGCTAGGCCAAGAGAAAGCAAATAACCCAAGCGAGCTCCATAACTGAGTGGGAATTTTCTGGAATGTCCCGATGTGAAAAGAAATGTCCTGCTTGCTTTGTGCATTGGATTTCTTAACAATTCCAAACAGCTCTGAACATTTGTTGTCCCTTTTTCATAACACAGAGAGGCAACAGCCAGTGCCCCAGGATTGGGACACTGAGCCTTTTTCCATACCACAGCTATAACCCAAAGCAGCTCTCTCAAGCACCTTCTAACTGAAATAAGAGCCTTGGCAATTGTAGTGCTCTTATGGATTATCTACAGCATTCTCAGAACTCCAACACAACTACAAATTCCAGGTTCCTTCAGGAATGCAAGCATAGTCCAAACACTTTCAACTCAACATTTAGAACAGAGAAATCCTCTTTAGATCCATGTCCCCCATACCTGGTTATTTTTATAAGCATACATAATCCACAAGTGTGCAGCAGATCCATTCTCCTGATTCCCAGGATGCAAGGGATTTCCTTCCTGCCTCTACCCGTGACCCCTGGATCATGGAGACACAGTTCGCTACATATGCATTTGACTGGCCCCTAGAATAGTGTACACACAAGATCCTTCTGGATCCCTTCTAGTCTGTCTTCTCCCACTGTAGGTTTGGGAGGGCCGCTGGCGTGTCATGCCCTACGATGTACTGCCTGACTGGCTAAAGGACAATGATTTCCTCTTACACGGACATCGGCCGCCCATGCCTTCATTCCGAGCCTGCTTCCGCAGCATCTTCCGCCTCCACACTGAAACTGGCAACATCTGGACACATCTCCTTGGTCAGTCATGGAGTGTTGCATTGCATTGCCCGGAAGAGTAAGGGGTGGGAATAGGGAAGGGGAAGGGGAAGGGGAAGGGGAAGGGGAAGGGAAGCAAGCTGGGTTAGCTTCCCTGGCATTCCAGATATTACATTATACCAGACTATCGCAGTTCCTGTTCTTAGACTTACAATCCAAAAGACATGGCACACAAGAAAATGCACATGGAGAGGAAGGAGGAAAAAAGCAAGCTCAGGAAACAGTTCTTAAAGTTACAATCCTTCTAGTGACCACCTGAGATGGGATATTTTCAGCCTAAAAGATTGTTAATAGAGAATGCAAATCTAGTTTTCAGTGGTGTGTCTTGACAACTGGCATTCTAATCACTGTCTACATCGTTAAGTTTCAGTATTTATGGGCAAACACTGAGGATCTCTACCATGAAGAGAGCTCCTATAGAATAATACCAGAAAAATGTTCCCAAGTCTTACAGAAATGTACTGAGAGGACAAAATATGCCCCCTCTCCACAGCATCCCCAACAAGGTTTGTGAATATGTGCTTCCCTCACACCACTGGGGAACTCTGCATGTGTGTCTGTTGTAGAGGGGAAAAGTGATACCATCCTCTCTTGGGACCCCTTGTCTAGGTGTGCCCTGGAGTTGCAAAAAGGGAGGAATCCTGCAAAGAAAAAGGGGACATCACCTTCATTGAAAAGATCCAATGAAATGGGAAACTGGGGTTTTTCCTAAACTAAATTTCTTTACTCTTATCCCCTTCCCAGTTATGACTCTCTGACAGAACTGGAGTGTGATCACCTTCCTCTAATGCTGATTAAGGGAAAAGCAATGTGTTCAAACAGAGTCCCCTTTGCTTATGCTTTGAGAATGGAGGGAGTCCAAGCAACCAAACACTTTTTAGCCAGATAGTGTGCTTTTATGAACCTGAAGAACTCTATATAAGTTCATCATTTCCTACACTTCAGCAATCCCCACAATTTCTTTGTTTAAAAAAGATTGGAAATAGGTGGAACAACTGCAGTTTGCTAGTATCCAGCTACTGGCAGATTTTTGTCAGTTAAGTACACTCATTTCCTGGGGGAAAATATAGTGAAAAGAGCTTGCAAGACATTGACAAAACCCTGTATGGAGAATTCAAGGAACCATCTCTTTGTGTTCACTGGAAAAAATGTCTCATTCATCTTCAAAGCTGGCATCAAAGCCTTCAAAGCTCACACCCAAAAGCTTTCAAGCCCTACTTGGAACTGTGTAAGCTCAGGTCCAAAGCCTTCTTCAACACATAGGCACTTGTGATGGGCAGGCAACCTAGATTAGTTGGGTTTGGTGAAACTACTTCCCAGCAGGCCTGGCTTACCTCTACTGTTGTTTCAAGCAATGTTCATTTTACTACTTTTCTCCCATGGCTTGCAGCATGCAGATCTCAGGACCAGTGGGAGAAGGAGCAAATGAGGTATCCTCTCTCTAGAGTTTAAAAGAAACCCTGCTCCACAGATGGATGGTGGGGAAGGGCCTATCATTAGAAAGTGGGTGCCATCCCCAACTGTGCTTGCATGGTGATGTGGTGAGCTGGGTACAAAGCAGCCTGGAGGGTGTCTCCTGCATTCGGAGGCACCAGGCAGCTGCTTGTATGTTGCATATTGCAGAGGTAGGCAACTTACAGTCACCTGAAAGTTGATGGACTGCAAGTCCTATCATCCTTAGTCAACAAATCACTGGTGAGGGAGTTGCAGTCCAACAATGTCTGGAAGGCCATGGGTTGCCCAGCCCTGGTTACTGGGTTGGTCAGCCTTGACCATCCTTTCCTGGTCAACAGAGACATAAGAATTGTGAAGCTTCAGGCCCTGTCTTTTCTCATTGACCCTTCCCCACTGACTCTGGGGATCGTGGGCCAGAGATGGCACCATCCAGGACTTGATTTGGGGATGGCTATTTTTACTCCTAGCCTAGTTCCAACAAAGCAAATTGATGTTGTCCACCTTCCTAAGCCTTCCAACATTTGAATATGTTTTGGTTGTGTTGTGATATGCACACAAATAGGTAAGCAGATTTTTCTTCTCTTTCCTCAGGGTTCCTGTTCTTCCTGGTTTTGGGCATTGGATATATGATTAGTCCCAATATGAAATACATCGCCCCCGTCCAGGAGCGTGTGGTCTTTGGCATGTTCTTCTTAGGAGCCATTCTTTGCCTCTGTTTCTCCTGGCTTTTCCACACTGTCTACTGCCACTCTGAGGAGGTTTCTCGCACCTTCTCCAAGTAAGCCTGCTCCCTACCCACAAATCTCTGGGGCCTGTGGCCAAAATGGCTCAAATGATGGATGGCATTCTGGGGGATATAAATTTAAACCAGTGGGAAACGCTGCTGCTGCTACCACCAGGTAAGCCCTCCAAGGCTCTCTATTTTCAGAGGGTCCACAAGAGGGCACTTTGCCAAGAACCTTCTCAAACCTGGTTGCCACACAAGGTGGGAGAACTGTGCTTGCATTCATGGGTCACAAGCCATGCAGCCTTCCCCAGCTTGGTGCTCTCCAGATGATTTGGATTCCAGGTCCCATCAGCCCTAACCATTGGCCATGCTGGCCATGCACACCTCCTTTCCTTTGGCTCTGTTGCTGATATCTCTAGTTAATACCAAAAGACCCTGAAAAACCTATGAGCAGAGATAATAGAGGTTTGCAATGTCTCACAGGCTGTTTCCTCTATCATTCCTCCATCAGCTCTATGGCAAAAAAAATCACCTGATTCCACCTCTGCCATAGGCCAAACCTTTGGAACAAATATTGGTATCTGTACCTGATGAATACCGATTATTTCATAATGGTGGATTAAGAAGTAAATTTTGAGAGCTCATTTGTGTTTTTATGCACTTATTTTAATGTGGCTTAATAACAATGCGTGAGTGCTGTATATAACCTTCCCAATGTTATGAAAGGTAATAACAGACAACAGCAAACTATTACTAACTTTCTAACAACTAACAAACCATTATTAATAGGCCATGACCTATTTAGAAGACATGCATGCAATGTAATCAATTTGACCCCTTTTTGACTCCTGAGATATATGGCATCCGATCTCATGCTCTCTCAAGGAGAACTCTGCTAATGTCTTTGCTTAATGATTATACTTCTATCCCACCTTTCCTCCAAGGAATTTGGGAGAGCATACAAGCTTCCTCTCCCCACCTCCCAATTTTAGCCTCCCAAGAACCCAAGGGGTAAGTTAGGGTGAGAGATCACTGGTGATTGGGCAAAGGCCAAGTCAGTGTTGCTTCAGCTGAACAAGGGCTTCAAACTCTGATCTCCCTGATCCTAGCCCTCCACTCTGTTTGCTATATTACAGTTGTCATGGCCTCATTTTCACCACTTATGTGAAAACTAATTCCTAGATTAACTCAGAGTGTGTGTACATGTGCAGGGATAAACCCATGTGCTGGGCAAGCTGAGCTGAAGGCTCTGGGATCATAGGTCTCACTGGGGGTCAGCTTGAATCCCTATGCTGCCAGGTGCCAGTTCCATCTATGAGTTATAGCCAATGTTAGTCCTACTTAGAGTAAACCCATTGAAATTAATGGGACATAAGTTAGACTAAGACTGGATACAACCCTATATTTTTAAGTGTCTGGTGCAATGCCAGTAATGTACAACTGTCTGTTCACATGGGAAGCATTACACAAATGTAGGTTGGATTACTCTGGAATTACTCTGTGGTTGTAGAATGTAGTGCTTAATCACTGTCCTCACCCATGAAGTGCACACACATGTCCTGTTCCATGGACCTCCTCAGATATTCTTGCTGGCTCCTCTGCAATCATACGTCCTGGCACCTGAATAAAAAAATACAGACTAAAGAAGGTCCTCAGAATTTCAAACTGTGTACCAGACATGGTCCTGCATAGGAACCTCAGAAGAGCCTTGCAGGACCCACATCAAGGGTACATTCAGTTCAGCATTCTCTTCAAAACTGGGGGTCATCACCACATCCTGTAGAAGTGAATTCTATAGTTTAACTACATGCTGTGTGGAGTAGTACTTACTTTTATCTGCCCTCCCACCTAACAGCTTCACTGGATGGCCCTTTTGAGTTCTAACATAAGAGAAGGAGATAAATGCCCCCCATCCCCTTTCTCCACATCCACACCCAGTGCCTACTAATACTGCTTTCTTTTGTGCATTTTGTGCAGATTGGATTACTCTGGAATCGCCCTGCTCACCATGGGCAGCTTTGTCCCCTGGCTGTATTACTCCTTCTACTGCTCACCTCAGCCCCAACTCATCTACCTCATCATCATTTGCGTGCTGGGCGTAACAGCCATCATGGTGTCACAATGGGACCACTTTGCCACTCCTCAGTACCGGGCAGTCCGAGCAGGTAACAACATACTTTTGTCATGCTTGTTCATGTCTTTCACCTGGATCTCACATCATACTGGCTCACAGTTTACACAACCCATGGTTAACCCTGTACCAACCTTCTCTGCTACAGCTTTCCAATTTCTGTTTGGTAGTGACACAGAGAAAGGTCTTCTCAGCAGTGGGCACCTTGATTCTGGAATTCCCTCCTGATGGAGGCTAGACAGGCTGCATTCCTGTTTAGGTGGTCAATAAAATATTTTTATTCCATTTGGCCTTTAATATGGGATTGTCCACTAAAATAAAGTCAATTTTCTGGACTTTAAAACCCTGGCTTTAATATGATTAATATTTTTCTTCACATGATTTTGTCCAATGTCTTGGGAGCCCTAATTAAGGGCAAATGACAGTTAGTTAAGGAATCTTTTTATAAATAAATGCAGTAGTGCATCTGCCGCCTCCCTGCCATCCCCTTGCCCATAACATAGATGATAATGATACTGGCCTACCAGATAGTATTCTAGGACAACTAAGATAAAGTGTCTGACTGTCAATAAAAATTCTTTTAAGATTGTGTGCATGTGTAAAAGCTTCCAAAAAAGGTCCAGGTGTGATCTAGTGGGAATGAATTCAGATTCTGTAGAACATTCTGTAGGATGAGAACATGATTTGTTCCTCTGCTCTCTGTGCTTCTTTGCTATCCATGGAGAAGGCCACTAGATCATCCTAAGCAGGATTTTTCCTCTCATTCTAGTCCACGTCATGGGGTCACTGTGAAATTAAAATGAATGATGTCTAAGAAAGGTCTGTGTGATGTTTAGCTTTCCTGACAGCCACACCATCTCACTTGTAATCTCAGCACTTCAGATCTGATCCAGTCCCAAAACAGACCTTACTGACACTCCAGGCATTCAATGAAATATTACCTGCCAATGCAAGTTGCTTTGGGCACAGAGAAGGGCACTGCTATCAATGGCTACTAGGCTTGCTGGCTTTCTGCTGCCTCCTTAACCAGAGGTGTCCTGCCTACACACACCAGTTGCTAAGGAACTTGGGCAGGTGGAGGTCTTGCACCCATCCTGCATGAGGCATCCTGTGGGCAGCTGGTTTTGTCACTGTGCAAATGCACTGGATGGACTTTTGGTCTGACGAAACATAGCTTTTCTTCTGTTCTTAGATACAGTAAGACTTAATTACACCCATGCTTTCCTAACTGTCAAGACATTGAAGAAATCTGCAATGGATTGAAATGAATTTGGATTTCTATGAACCTGATTTATAGATTCTACAGTAGACTGGCTTTTTCTGAGCCATGTGGAAGCCATGGATTTACAGACCACTTTTTTGCATTTGCACTAATGTGCATTGGTGCTTATGTGCTAATCCACATTACCTAATACAAATTTAGCATTAGCACCATGTGCATGAGTTTACACTTGCCCAAATAGGCATTGCTAACATGCTAATCTGCATTAACTAAGATTGGCACATAAATGCACAGGAATGTTAATGCACACTTTCCAATTTACACAAGTAGCATGCAGGTTTGATTTTAAAATCCAGTTTCATCAAGGAGTATATGATGGGAGGAAAGATTCTTGACAATCCACAAAACACAAATGGAACAAATTTAATAACAATTGTACATCCCTACTCCTCTGGGGTTCTCTAGCTGTGTTGTGCTACAACTCCCAGCATCCCCTAGCCAGCATAGCTGGAAGTTGTAAACCCCTCTGGAGGGTGCCAAATTGGAGGTTAGTTGACAGTATACCCATTCCAAGAGAGCACAACATAAGGGCCAGTGTCCACTTTCACGTTAATACCAGAAGTTCAGGTTGTAGATTATGGTAGGTTTTATCTAATGCTATGATTTGGTTATAGTCACTCAGTAGTCAGAGGATACTTTGCACATGCTCAGAGATGCTTTCTCCATCATTGACCATCACCCCCAATCCTGGAATTGAGACCGCCTTACACCTGGTTAGTATTAAACCCTGATAGGAGCTGCTTCAAGCAGTGATGTGCTTTTCCTTTTTGGGCAGGGGTGTTTCTGGGACTGGGGCTGAGCGGGCTGGTGCCCACCCTCCACTTCATGATCTCAGAAGGCTTCATCAAGGCCACCACGGTGGGGCAGATTGGGTGGCTCTTCCTCATGGCTGTCCTCTACATCCTGGGGGTGGGCCTGTACGCTGCCCGCATTCCTGAACGCTTCTTCCCTGGCAAGTGTGACATATGGGTATGTATTTGGGACTGAAAGCTGAGGGGGGGGGGGCTGCGGATTTGGGGGCAAGCTGGGGCTGTGGGTCAGGATTCCTGGCAAGCTTGCATTTGAAGTGGAGTGGGTTGTCTCTGCTCCCAGAGCATCCATGGCTGGGTTGGCTCAGTGGTGGAGTCCCTCCTTTGCAGGCTGTTCTTCCCAACCCTGTCCTGGTTTTCCCAGGAAAGGGTCAGGTGGCAGGGATAGGAAAGACCCTCCCCAAGCACGTGATGCCACTTGGAGGGGGCAGTTCTGGGAAAATATTCAGACCCCTTCTAACAGCTCTGTGAAGGCCCGCAGCCCTTTTTCACATGGGCACAAGGCTTCATTTAAATGCCATCCAAATCAGACAAAACAAAGCCAAATGCTGCCGCTATTCAGCAGAGGTGGAGGGTGGAATTTCTTCCAGTCCAAAGGCTGAATTTCAGGTTTGGATGAACTCTTGCAAGGAAGGAGGCACACACCAGGGAGGGGTGGGCAGGGCTGAAGGCAAAATGGGCAGAAATATCACAACGAAGAGCTGGCTTTAGCTCAAAGTTCTCACTGCTTTAACAAAACCTGAGGAGTTGCATGCCAACCTTTTGGAATGGTGAAACAAACAAATACATAATTAATCCAGAATACCTTTTAGCTAGGGTCTAACTTGCCATGTGCTAATTCTAATAAGAGATTGTTCGTTTGTTTGTTTATAAGAAAAGCCATTTGGGGCTGGGGGCATTTCTGAAGCAGAATTGGTGGGAGGAAGCAAGAGCACCAAGTGACCTCTGAGGCTGAGTGGGCATCTGAACTTGAGTCCTAGACCAGTGCTCCCCACTAAGAGACACTAATTCTGATTCATTTCTCATCTCCTGCTCTGGGTCACTCTAGCCCACAAATGGGGAATGTGTGCCCCTTCAAATGATGCTGGACCAACCAACATCCATGGCCACAGGCTGGGGATCATGTGGCAGCAACCTTGCACAAATGGGGCTCACAGGTTGTTCACCCCTTCTAGCTCTTTGCAAAGAAACAATATTGGAGCAGAAGGCCAGAAAGAAAAAGTGGCACCTACATGCTTATTTGCTCAAACATTCATGTATTGATTCATGTTTTGAAAGAGCCAATTTAAAAAGCATTGTAAAGGTGCTCTGAGGAGAAGGCAGGGGGAAGCGGGATGTCCGAAAAAGTGGTAGCCAGTCAGCACTGAGCACAGCTGGGTTGTGCGGTAAACAGGACGAACCGTAGGATGCTGCCTTCTCATTCTGTGACTTGGGTGGACTATGCCTTTGGTGGGATTCATCCCTGGGTGAACATGGATAGGTGGATGCATCCTTCATGGGTTAATGGATGATTTGCCGTTGGGTTGGGGGTCTTGTTTTGTATCTTTTAAATCAACCACTAAAATGGGAGGTGGTCCCTTCCTTCATTTTTTTTCTCAACCTCCTCTGCAGCAGCTTTGGAGGGTGGGCAAAAAGACTTGGGCAGGAGTGAGAAATGGATTCCCTCTGAGGTCTGCTTTCATGGGCAGGTTTAAAGAGAATAAGGGAGTCTCTGCAACACAAGCGGGTCTCTGAGGGAGCGCAAGGTGGCCTGTGTGAGGGAGCCACAGGTTCAAATCGCTCTCTTTCCTTCTCCCTCCAGTTCCACTCCCACCAGATCTTCCATGTGCTGGTGGTAGCAGCTGCCTGCGTCCATCTCCACGGAGTCTCCCAGCTGCAAGCGTTCCGCTCTTCACTGGGTGGCAGCTGCACCGAGAACACTGTGCTCTGAGCCCCGTGGAGGCCAGACTGAGCACCTCCTCTGGATGAGGTCAGTCCTGCTCTTCATCTGGCACCCTGCACTTGATATGAACCAAGAGGACCCTGGGCCTGTCTAAGAAGGGAGATACTTCCCCCTTCTTTCTCTTTCCTTTTTAAACAAAAAGCTGTTGTGTTCCAGGTCTTTTTTGTGGGTGAGGGGGAAGCACCCCTTTCCTCCCAGGTGGGACAGCCTTTGTGTGTGCTGGAGTGTGGATGAGTGTAGATACCAGGTGTTATTTTATCTGTATGGAGAACCAAAGGAATGAGTGACCAGATGCATATTTCCATAACCACTTAAAATACTGAGTTTGGTTAGTAATGTTTCTAAGGTGTGAGCTGGGACACAGACTGGGTCTGACCAGGCCGTGTGTGTGTGTGTGTGTGTGTGTGTGTCCAGCCTTTATTTATGACACATTATCCTTCTTTTCAGAGGGGTTTATTTTACAATGAGCACCAAGCAATCATGCCCTGTGCTCAGAATTGAAGCAGTCCGGTTTTGCACATGCAAAGGTCAGATTAATCGGGGCACAGGGGGAGATTTAGCAGGGAGGACTTGGCTTCCCTTTCCAGCCTGGCGTGGGGCAAAAAGGCAAAATGGGGAGACACGAGGCCCATGGAAGTTGCCCCTCTGTACTCTGAGCAGGTGTTCTGCGCATGCTTGAGGGCAGCCAGGAGCCAGGCTTCCTGGACTCTGGCCCTTGCTAGAAGGGGTGTCTGACAAGCACTTTGGAAAAAAGAGGAAACTTTGCCTAATATGGCCCAGAAAACAAGGTCAGAAGAATGCCTTTCTTATGACAAAATGGTTCAGGGTCTTGTGCAGGGAGAAATTCCCTGTCGAAACATAGACTGTGGCCTTTCGCCAGCAATTTTGTCAGTAACCAAGAGGCGGAGTGTTACAGCAATGCCACTCTCAGCTCTTTTTAGCCAGGCAGAGAGTTTTAAAGACAAAATTGGCACAGTTCCAAAGCAAATAGCAGGGATCCTTCTTTCCCTCTCCTGAAAGCGATGGCAGTGCCAGCACCCCTGCTGTTTAAGCTACGGCAGCCCTCCCCAACCTGTACCCTCTGTAGGCCATGCTGGCTGGGGTTGATGGGAGATATAGTCTAATACATCTGCAGTGCATCTCACCGGGGAAGCAGTGTTAGGGCAGATGGGGAAACCCTCAACCTTCTGGATGTTGCACTTCATCTCTTAGCCCCAGCCAGCATGGCTAGTGGTTGGAGTGATGGGAATTGGAGTTCTACAACAGAGGGAATGTGAGTGGTTCTTGATTCCCAGGCTCAGTGGTACAAGAGATGATGCCCATCTGTATGTGGCTCCCACTCTTCCTATGCAGAAGGAGCCCACAATCCATTTGGTGTTAAGCAAAATAGAACCATTAGATTCATGTTCTTGGGGAGGAAAAGATGCAGGACTGAGGACTGGGGCAATATAGTCAAAGGGAGGAGTCTGCTTTTTTTTCTGCACCTCCCTGCCTCACCCCACCCAATTCACTTTCTTGGAAACAGAAGGTTTCTGAATCAGCCTTGGACTCCACAGTGGAAAAGCCAAGAGAGGCCAAGAGCATAGATCTTCTCAAGTTCTCTGTAGTATAATCCAAGCCTCACTGCATTCCCAACATTGCCCAAGCCCATGCTCCTATCCTGCAGGGCAAAAGGCACTGTTACATTCCTAATGGGCAGGGCTGAAAGAACAAACTGGTAGTGCTACAAACCTGTCTCTTCTGACTGCACTGCCCCATTCATCTTTATGTATGTTAAAGCAGTGAGCCTCTAGGAATTTAGGTGTGGAGGGCCTATAGCAGCTGGGCTGTGGATCAGAGGGGAGTGGCCTGGACCCCTGGATTGAATTCTGTTGTGATGGTGAAATCTACAAATAAGAGGGATTCAATAAAATGAGGAAGTGGGTTAGAAAGACAATCCTCTAAATAATCTTGAGAATCCCGCCTTCAGTTGTAGGCAGTGGGAAGGGAGCACATGATGGTATCTAAGCTAAGATTGCCTCTTGCCACTTTATTTTGGACACAACACTGCCACAAGTCATTTCTTCAGGAGAAGGTGGCCACATCTACTCCCTGTTGCCTCCGTGTTCAGAAGGGGGTACTTTGAAGCATTTTCATTTCAATATATAAACCAGGGGATCTCTCCAGGATAGTTGGGACATTTTGAGAAATAAAGGTGAAATGTTAGAAAAAGCAGAGGACACTCACTCTTTATATCTGCAGTGGTGATGAGTGGTGTGGGTCTGCACAAAGGGAGTGGGGGTATCATTTAACAACTTGTGATCTGGCATGCAAAGCAATCCATTAGCTGCGTATTGTGATTTTCTGAGGTTTTGACAATCACTTGGTTTTGCATTCCCAGGCAGGCCAGCAAAAATTGTTTATATAGTGCAGGTGGACTGTGTTTGGATTGGAAGGTCACACATTGTGCAAACCTGATTTAATAGGTTGGAATTATTGATGACTTGCCCAGAAATAAGGCAACGGAGGCTAAATGTCCTCTTAAAGGTCAGGTGCATGGTGGGTGCCAACACCAAGTTAGTGAAACCAAGCAGTTGGTTCAAAAGGAAGATGGCAGCCCAAATCTCAAGCGCTGGGAAAAATGGAGGCTAGAACTACATCATTTGGGTTCCATCCCAGTTCTGCAGTGGTGCTGGTGCTCAGTGGCTTCTGGCTGAAGCAAATGAGGATGAATAGATTTTAAGCACATTGGAGAAGAATATCCGTATTCACTCCCATCTTCCACTGGGTGGTTTTCAAGGCTGGGTCTCACTTCTCCAACTGATAGTTTGCTCCAAGGCAGGGCATCTGTACAGCCATTGAAACCTAGTTGCTCTGTACATAATAAACAGGGAGTCTTATGAACTGTCCTCGAAATAGATCCTCACTGCAAGGGATCCGTTCCAGAACTGTTCCGCAGTGACCTGTCTCATCCCTGCCTCTTCACCCCTGTCTTTGTGGGAAGCGCCAAGGGGCGTCTTTGTTTTTAAAAGTTTGGTTATTTTTCTACTGGCCATTGTGATAAAAATTCTTAGAAGCCAGACACTTTAAAAGAAAAAGGGAAATGTAAAAATATTTAAAGTGTAATATTAATAATTATAATAATAAAAACTTGTTTCCCTAATTCAGTCTGACTCTGTTTGATTGTTTTCAATTGACAACACTATGCAGGCTATGAGCAGAGCACTGGAGACCAAATATTGAACCAAATGCATCTTGGCCTTATCCAGTAAGACTATCCTTATTCAGAGGCTTGATGGATCAAAATACCATCTAATCCAGTTTTCCCCAAATGGTGCTCCAGATGTTTTATCCTTCATTTCCTATCAGTCATGCTGATGGTTAGGGATGCTGGAGGATGTAGTTCAAAACATTTGGAGCACCACATTCGAGAAAGTGGACCTAATCCACCTCTTAACTTGAAGGCAGAAGCTTTGCCACATACATCAATTTACATAATCCATCCCTTTGTTTGGCCATCTCTTAAAAATAAGCTATACAGGGTTTTGCATAGATTTTTAAGGATCAACCACCAACAGGCCTTATACACTGCACGTATATTCCATTTTTAAAACTGCAGTGAATTTTCTTCCTGGATTCTGCAGCAATTCATTTCATGGATTAATGTGTAGTATGAAACTGCTCCATTTTGTCTAATGTGCGCTGTCATTAAAAGCCACTGCTATCAAGCACTTGGGTCCTTATCACTGTGCTCATACCCTTTCCTGTTTGAACAAGGGTGTGGATCGCAAGAGACAACATCCACTTCATTAACCGTGGTGCAACCGACATAAACTTAAAATTGAACAATTCTGAACTAGGGGCAGGAAGAAGCTGTAAAAGGGAGAACAAAAAGTAAAATGAAATCTCAGAGTCTTTCCTGCCCCACATTCTTTCCTGGTTTCCCAACAGTTTATTTCAGCAGTGTAACTTCAGAATGGAGGAGTGGGGTCATCTCGTTGCTAGTGTTAAAACATTGGGAGGCAAAAATCATCGCCGTTTTACTGCAAATCGCAGATCACCTCGCTCTCCCCTGCTCTCGTGGAGATTCCAGGATCTCAGGCTAAGAAGGGGCTTTTTCATTATCACCATATACTTTTAACTGAAAATGCCAAAGATTGCCTGGCATGCATCCTCATCCTCATCCTTGAGAAGGGAGCTTTTAACTGTGATTTCCCTGCCCTGCAGAGGGACTGAGAAAAGTGAGAATCTCTCAGCTCTATTGGAATACAGGAGGAAAGAAGGAATTCAAATTCGTGATTGATTAGAAAGCTAGATGAGGCCGCCATAAGTTGGAGACGACTTGAGGATCACAATCAGAACATAGGGCAATACGGATTTCATGAGCCAATCAGATCGACAGGCCTGAGCGCCTCAGCCGAATTGGTTGGGGGAGGTGGGGCTTGCTGTTCAGGCATCATGGCGGTGCCAGGATGGTCTGAGTGGGTCCAGGAGCTGCTTCGGAGGATGAATGCTTTCCACACAGCAGGTGTGGCTGCAGAGGTTCAGGGGCCTAGGAGGGTTCCTTAGGAACAGTTTCCTAAAGCAGGGATTAGCCGGTACCCACCCACACAGAGCAATGGTTGCTGAGCTCTTTAAGAGATAATCCTTTGCTTAAAGGATGAAAAACAATAGCAGAATGTCTCAGAAACTGAATGAATGAGAGAAATTCATATGAATAAGTAGTATCATTCAAGACAAGCCCCGTGAATATTGCAAAGACCTACCCCCTTTGAAAGAAAGGAACCCTTTTAGGATTTAAGATGTACATTCCTTGCATGCTTACACCAAGCTGCTATCCTTTGTGCACTTACTTGGGAGCAGGGACCATTGAATTCATTGTTCAATGTTTTGTTTAAACATTCATCAGACTGCAGGGACGCAGCTTCACCTCTCGGCGGCTTTCGATACCATCGACAATGGTATCCTTCTGGATAGGCTAGCGGGATTGGGGGTCGGAGGCACTGCTT